ATAAATAACCGGGCAAGTCAAAAGGTTGTAATCTAGTTTCCGAGTTGGCCTATATTAATCTTCACTTACTTTTATCAGCCATTCAATAACCATTATGAATCTTTCACGATTATATATGATTAATTTCAAAGGTGGTTTGTGTTAATGATTATGTGTTATCACATTGCCGCCACAAACGTTAGTCGTGAACACTTGAGAGTTAAAAGGAAAAGAATCTAACCCTCCAGATCGATCAGTTTTATTCCCGTAATTTAGTTCATAACTCAGTAAATAATTTAAGTCAAGCGTGCAACTTTCCGCCAATCTATAAGTGATAAAAGTTTGGCAGCAGTCAAACGTAAGCCATTGCGAATTAATCAATAACCAGTTGTTAGTGTAGCACTTAGTATCGTATCACGGCTACACGAGTTACTCTAGATTTTGAACGGGGCACCTAGTCTATTCCTTTTTGTCGTCATCCACATATTTCATCTTGAAGATACCGCAAGTATTTGGGGTTTGACAACGCTTTAACCAGTAACACCTAATATGAATCGTACCCACTAATTAAAATCAAAAGAGAGAAGCAAGGAGGTTCGAAGATATATTTGATAGGCCATCAATATATCGAGAATCTTCTGATCTAATCTGGCCAGCGATTGCAGCAGATGTTGAGTACGGCGCCCCCACTCGTGATCTGATGCGGATGCATGACTAAGCGCCTTCAGCTGGGTAAGTCCATTAAAACTAATATGGTCAGCATCCAATGTCGAAGGCTTTCTGAGCTATTTATTTTGGGAGTTTATTGACCACTACAATCTTATCAGTTATCTATTTGTCACATCGATTGTTTTTGTATGAGCGTAGGTGTGAGTGCCTGTTTATGGATCACTCTCTACTTCGCATTCTGTAGCTTCTCTTTGTGTTCGACTATAGATAATGAGTCACACTCTGTTAAATTGAGCTGGGACATTTGCTATCTCCGATTCACTTCAGTTCTCATATTGTCTGTTTGCGTTAATGGATGTATGAAACGAATGTATCCGAAATTCATTTTTGTATCGGGCTTGTTTTACTTCGGGTTTTACTAACAAGTCTTAAGGCAGTGGAAATGTAGTAGGTTAATTGATTTACATGTTCCGTTATTATCACTCGATGGCTATAAAGTCAGACAGTGGACCTGTGTTAGAATAAAAACTTTGGCTATTTGCTCCCTAAATTTATAATGATATTATGCTTCAGATTTTCTTCTGTTGAATGGTGACATGTCTGTGTCTAAAAATAGAATGAACGCTCTTCACGTTTGTTCTATATGTTTTTTGATAAGGATTACAATCAAACTCTTAAAACCTTCCACTGGTTTTAATGCTTGAAGAGGGTTTAACATTCTGTTGGTTTAAGAAAATGTGGTAGGTACCTTGACCTTACAATGCTTTTCAGCGTCATATGCAAATGCTTTCTCATAAGCTGTTCATACTCATAGATTGATGATTTAAAAACTTGTGATGAAATTGAAGGCAATGATCGAAGATTTCTTATTTCGGCAACTAAGTATGCGGTTAGAAATTTGGATAGATGTTGAGGAAACTGAAGAGAGGATTTCATCAATCAAAGTACAGATAGCTATCGATTTAGGCGAACCATATGATTTTTATCAAATGAACTGCTGTATATATTTTTGATCCTGTATGATTTAATAGTCAACTTTTTGATCAAGCTGGGAAATGAAAACTGTAGATCACCAATTTAGGTGATCCGTATCGAATTATTAGTGGTCTACTCGAGTTGGACGGGAATGACGTGACCAGTCAGCTAGTGTTGAAGTTATGTCTCATGGTTAATACCTAGCGTGAAGTACCCTTTTATCATGTCCAGGTGATGTGACCACTTTGAAAGCCGTACAACACAAACAACGTCATTACAGAAATATATTGGCAGGCGTAGATACAAGAAACAATGTGACCTCTGCTACACGTAACATTCCGTGACATGCAATTGCTCAGTACTCTTTGATTGTTATGGACCTTGACCAGGACGACTAACATTTTCAATATTCAGCGACCCAACTACCGGACCAATGAGTAGACCGATGATTAATAACTAATTTCAATAGACTTTAAACATCATAATTATACGAAGGAATCACCCACATGTTTTGTCAATACTCACCTAAAAAACTGTAAAAAAAGTGCCTTCTGGTTTACGATTGTTAGTGAATCTTCATTTCTAGTGATATCATTGCAATAACATTTATGTGTTTTTGTGCATCATTTTAAGAGTAGATGTTGGTCCATAGCTTGTCGCAATCTAAGGCGGGTTGTTTGTGTGGACATTCGCGAATGACATGAATTATGTGGAAGTTTGAGCTTTATGCTAAACTTTTTCAACTGAAAGTAACTATATTTTGGATTCTTCAGTATTTACTCACTTAGTTAAGCAATTATGATAAGCATCCATGGGAACACGGAGTTGAGCAACGGATCTTGCAGGTAATTTCCTGTTTCGACATTATTACATTTCTGACTACATCAATGTATAGTTGCTATCACCTCATAGTTCACGTTGGACAAAATGTGTTTATCCTCAGTTTGCCTTTTGGTTCACTGAAAACAATCTGTTCTCACAAGATCTGAGCACGTGTATTCGTCCTGTCATATGACGACATCTGTTATTATTTCTCTGGGATAAAAGGTACAGGACACGTCTTCCGGCGGCAGTTTCTGAAAGTCGAAAAACCTGGTTGTCACGTTCTTTTTGTTCGCTCTTGAGTTTCGAGATAGCTAATTATGGCCTTTGAGTTGATCTAATATAATTGGTCAAGATTCATTTCTTAGTATCTTGTACGTAATTAGATCTACTATTAGTCATAAAATAGGGCTAAGTGCTGAGTACGCAATGTTGCATTACTTATCTGATACTTAGAAATAGGGAGGTATATATTTGTGAGTTAGGGTCCTGAGCTGAAACAGAGGAAGTCAACTGATGACACTGATTGTAGTACTTCAAGATCTTTTCGTTCCTTATTATACCTCCTAAATCATTATTAGACATTGCTAGGTTCAGGCCAAAAACTTTTATACGTTCTGATAGCCAGTTATTGTCACTGGCCCTCAAACTTACAGTATGGCTCATATCCAAGTATCTGGTGCATGAGTTAATTAATTTAATTTTGTTAGCATCCCCTCACCATTCCAATGTGGGATTTAGTAACTTGGACCAACACACATACCTGTCGTGTTTATGTTGTTATGACCAACTACCTGATTAGCGTATATTTGAAAAATAATGAAAAGCTTTATTCGGTCAATTATGTTTTTACGATTTAATAACCGTCCTAAAATTAAGTAAACAGCGTCAACTCTATACGAATAAAGTAATTATAATAAGACATAATTGTCCAATTTTAGACAACGAAATAAATCCATTGTTTCATTGAAGAAATTACTGCAGTTCGGTGAAAAAACTTTCTAACGATTTTATTTGCTAGATTGCTACAATTGTATAGTATATGTAAGTATATAGTGGGATGAAAGTATTACATCATTGAAGATATGGTTTAATGTTTTGTCAGGTTTCGAAAAAGCTACGTGATAAATTAAAGTGAAAATAAGTTACAGATGGAAAATGATTGTCAACTTGAAAATCAAAAAATGTAGGTATATGGTAGTTTGGTGTCGTAAATTATATGGATGTATGATTTATAGGAACGAAGTCACGTAACGTTCTAACTGCTAATGAGAAATGTCAAGTTGAAAATATGTTATATAAGACATAACTATTTATTTAATAAGTATAAAAAACAGAATAATTACGAAATTGTAGTACTAGCTGATTGGTAATTTTGAAAAAGTGATGGAGTTAAAAAAATGGACTATTGAGCACGCGATATAGGGAGAGAGTTAAGACATGTTTTTCTCGTACACAGAGACTAGCTTGGAATCTGAGTTGTTAAGGCCTCTTCAGCACATAAGTTTTTAATCTGTATTTCTTATGACTCACCTCTATGTTCGTTATTTCGCTAATTTATATTTTACCAAGTATATTCGATGGTTAACTCATTCTATTACCATTAGTACTGTTACTGTCTCTATTATTCTGGGATTCGTCCTGAAAATTTCATCTTGCTTCGCTTTTAGGGTATGTAAACGTCAGCTGCTGTACAAATGTAGCAGGCTCAACGTTGCGTTTTAGGTATTGACTGCGGGTGAATGTGAAGTATTCTGGTGCAGCAACGTGGCTAATTTATTTTTTATTTTTATTTCAACACATAAATCTTGGTACAAGAGGGCACCAAATATATATGCGCCACACCATATTTGTGTGTGTGTGGGCTGTGATACTGCCCGGGTGCCCAGATCGAAACAGATGGTTTTCTTAGGGGACCACACCCCGAGACTTTGACCTAAAGGTCTAACCCACAAGGCAGTGGAGCATCGTGAGGAGATGCATTCCCATGGTAGCCGCTGACCAACGATTGGTTCATACGCCATTTGTTCCCGCAGGATACTGGAGCCCATGTGCACCATTGGTTTGGGATCCGGTTAAAGCGCCGGACATTCGCTTTTCGTCTTCCCGGCCACGAGAAGGCAGTGAGTAGGACTTCCCTGAGAGAGGCTGTATACGCGTGACCGTGTGAGAGCATTTTGAGAGGGAGGGCGGGCCCACCCCACTCTAGGCCATACCAGGGCATTTGGGGGCTACGTGGCTATTGGTTGTGAAATTAAACTATTTACCAACTTAATCGATGCTCCTGGTAACTAAACGGGGTAATGCTCAGAGATAGGTTCCAAGAGAGCTAGTCTTGTGCGCTCGATATAACCTGGTCCATAAGATGTTGATTTATAAATATACATAGCTGTGGCCCAAAGTGGAAGCTTGTAATTCACACATCCACTAGTCAATGCGCGACTGTAGAAGAGAATGCGATGCTCATTAGAATAAAATATTTTTCCTCAGAGATCTCGAAAGTCAGTTTCTCAGGATCTCTGCCTCTGTATCTCCTTCAAATTGGATGTCTATGGAAAAAAATCTATAACTCTAGATAGTTTTTCACGCTACTGTATCATCCTGCTATTTCTGTTAACCAGTATATGTGGATGGCGATTGTTGATGGGTATCTGTCGTACTTGATCTAGTTCAATGTCAGTTTTGTCATCAGTTTAAATTCTTTTGGCTCTAGCTAATAGAGAGTGAATTAAGTTTATCTTCTGTTTCAAGGAGCCCAATATTGGAATTTGTGTACTCGTCGTTCTAAGTTGGCTTTCTGTATATTGATCTTCAAAGCAACCCATCCGACCCTCGATTTAGTAAAATATCTTAGAAATGAAGCCCCTGAGTCTGACTCTGGTTTTACTGTAAACGTGAATATTGGTGACAACTATTCAACTTTCAAAGGATGTCTTTGGGTTCGTTATTTTCGTTTCGGATTGTGAAAAAACCATTGAAATTTCTTTTGTATGAATAAAAACTGTCGTTCATGGTTTTAATTACAATGTTGTATAAATTAGCAGTAAACAGCTTGAAGTGGGTCGAGTGGTGAACAGATTTCTATTTTAATGGTTTGTCTATAAAACGCATAACTCAATTTAAACTGAGCATTAAAAGTAAATTGCAGAATTAATTTCTTTAGATATTATTTCGGAACACTGATATCGAGGTTTTTGTCCTCATCATAGTCTCATGACAGACAGCTTGTATCTGAATGAGGTGCATTTGTTAAGTGAGAAGTAACGTTCAATGAGTAAATTTTCTGCCCGGTTACACTGACGTCAGATATTGAATCGATGAAACCAAATGAATCTACAGTAGTGTGTCTGTTAAGTTAATTTCTGACTGTCAGATTTCAGTTAACCGTTTTGTGATATAGTCTAGGAGGTCCAGTGGAACAATACCAACACACTTCTATGTTTAATTCAACGCTAAATCTTTATTCCTCGGAAGATCAAATAATTGGAATTCACTTTCTCTCGAAACTAGATGTTTAGTTTTCGGATTTGTAATATTGAACACAGCGGCTTGCAAGGTTAGGGAGTTATTTATAGTCATTGTTAGAGTCTGGGATAAATTCGCTTGTCTAATGAATTAGATTTCCAAATCGGGTTTTCTTGTTGAGTCCTTCGATTGCAGTTTTTTGGGCCTAATACTTGTAACTGTAAGTTCATCATTCTACATAGTATATATGACGTAGGAATGTAAGTGATATCTGTCTTGGAGATAGATGAAACATGTCCTCTTGTGTGAATTAAGACCCTTTTGACTGTTGAGTGTTGTTACTAATGTTCTGTTCATGACGTAAAATACTTTTATGTAAGGAATATTGGCGGTATCCAAATCCATAGATCAGGGTAGATGAAAGAGGTTTGATCCACTATTCGTCGAATCCTTAAAAGAGTGAATATCCTTACTCTTACCACTGGATTGATGATACAAATATATTTTACACACATTGATATTTAGTACTATTGGTTTTGCTACATTAGGTTCCCTTCATTTCAGTCCGTCAGGGCGTGCATGACTTATTAGTTTTCTTGATCAAAATATTGTTGAAAAATAACATTTTTCCGTATTCGCTCTAGGGGATTGATCGCCATTCGACTCGTGATGGGAAAACACGTTCAGGTCTTATTGATGTGGACGTAATACGAGGTAAGTAGGTGATTAATTGTATACTTGTGTCTTTTACTGGTTACTATATTGTTTCATTGAATATCAAGTATTAATGTTTCAATATTCAAGTCGGTGATATACAGGCTTGAAGTTCCTGGTCTCTTCTTGTACTTGCATAAATGTCTTTTGCTTCCAAAATTATCAATGTCTGGTATTGTTTAAGGATTAAACCTGAGATTCTTGTTATGTCTGATTAAGGTTTTACAGCTAGATGTATCAAAATATCGGTCTGATATACGATCTGAGCGTCATTCAATCAGTAGTTTATCAATGTTTTTAGGATTTGAGAGGTAGAACAACGACATTTCTAAGTATTTGATTCTCTAGTCATTTACTACAGTCATATAGATTCAAATAATTTCTATGAATCTTTCAATCATCGAACTGATGTGCGAGAGACCATTGTAGCTTAGAGGTTTTGTGTTTAAGTCGATAGTCTCAATGATCAAGGAGAGTGGGTGTGCTGGAGTGATTGGATTTATCCTAATATATATGTGGTTTCATTTGGTCGGTTGTGAGCTTATGTATAATACATGCACAGTATCGTTTTACGTAAGTAAGAAGTGGATTTTTCAATTGTTGTCTAAAGTGTAGGCTGTTCCCTTTTTTATATTTTAATTTTGTACATGGATATCGATTTTTTATCATGATTTCGAAAACTTTTACCAGACCAGCTATTGTCTCCATTAAGTATTGTGTAATATCGCATAATTCAAGCGTCTTTTGGGGAGGATTTCCTTTGAACTGTCTTTTGGTGACTAAGATGTTTCTAACTTATAACTCATAGGAACAGGGCCATTTAATTTGCTAGGATTGGAAATCCGTTTCGCAAGGCGAATTATGCCCTTATTAGGCCCGACTTTTGGTAACCTATCTCTCGATTATGAGGAAGCAACATCTATGGTGGTGCCGTTTATCTACATAGTGCACTTTATTGGGATCATATTATAACATTCGACATTCTTGCTGGTTGGTATTTACATCTCTTATACAACCGCGGCTACTAGAATATTGGTTAAACCGATAAATGTAAACGTATTTTGTACAGGTTGAGTTGTTATCAAACATGGGCCAGTTAAATCAAATAACTGTCTTGCCGTAGTTTTCTGTAATATTCCTCATGAGCATTACGATTTACTCTTTAGCTAAATGTAATCGGTTTTAGTTGTGTTCTTGCTTGCATTATATTATTTTCTTAGTGTTTTACTGTACTAAGAGTTGTATCATAAATTAATAAAAATAATTAGACGATGGGGGCGCATATAACTCAGTCTTGTTAATTGAAACTGTTGATAAAAGACAGTCTTCCAAATATTTTCTGTCAAAATGAGAAACAAAAGGGCTTCCGAATTCTTTCAGTCACCAATATGTAACTCAATGACAGATTAAAGTGATCGAAATCGTTAAACAATTCACCTATTTGAGAATTCACACTAGATTAGTAAACCAGTCTGTGACTAGTGAAGTCCTGGAGTGAATATAAAATGGGTCATTTTGCTTTTAAAAATCTACACTAATTGACTTACAGAGGATTTGTTCTAACACAAGTTCAAAAAGGAGTATAGGATGTATCATCTTGCTTTACAACATGGATAAGGAATATGATTTTTCAAGGTAAAAGAAGTCAGTGTTTTAATATCTTATCTATCGTTATCTTTGAAACAATCGTTTGAATGTGATGAGCTCTATGATCGATCATTGTTGTTGATGTTATAGTGAAAAGTTAATTGTGTTGTAGATCTTCTTGAACTACATTCGTTAGAATTACTGTCAAATTCATTTATTATACTATGTAGGTTGGTATTTGTTTAATACAAGCCTCAGAATAATCAGACCTTGAAATTTCTCTAGGTGATACAATCTTTGGCTGTTTAGAAAGCCGTACGTTGTTTTAGCTGAAGTTTACGAGACGATTGAAGATCGGATTTAATTCAATGGATCTGATTCATCCATTCTTTTCATCGTTAATAAGGATGTTTGGTGTCTCGCATTCCATTTTGTCTTCCTTTCCTATTTTTTTCAGTTTTACTCTCACTATCTGTACGTTTTCCCGACCGACGTTTATGTCTCAATTATTATAATAGATTAAAGTAGTTTGGTATTTGAAATTTCATATCGTTTTTATTTTCTCTAAGTATTTGGCTGACACATATAGTGTCTAAGGTCAATTAATGAAAAAAATGTCAATATATCTTTTGCCACGCAATAATACCTATGGCTTTTCTGATTATCAAGTTTCTAAATAAATTATTGATCCGTGCTAACCATACATTGAGGTCACTTGCAAGTTTAATAGTCTGTGCAAACAGTGACTTGGTAATACGTCACATTAATTTGCAAATTATTACTGTAGTTACACTGTTTAATCTCTTAACAAACTTCATTCATATACATCACTAATTGCAGGGTTGTAAACTGTTGGGAACTTGTGGTTTAGAATTGAATGTATGCAGTTAAGCAGTAAAGTCTGGGTGATAGGTTATGCTGTAAAATATGCGCTACATGCACTGTATAAGAACTAACGGCTATTCGACTAGGCGGGTTTGAATTTGTGGTCTAACGTTTAGGTGAGTGTGTAAATGATTTAGCTCCATTTCTCCGTGAGTGATAAAGTTTATTTGCAAGCGTTTTTAGTTTTGAGAATCTGATAAATTAGCAGCCTTGATCACCATTATATGGTATCAGGTATCGTGATAACCATGTTACCTAAATTTTGGTCCTACTAAATAAACGCTTGTATTAGTTTTTATCGATATTTAAATATTTTTTATAAAGGTTCTGTTTTCGCCAAGGCTAAAACCGGGCATGGTTGGATGGCAGCTGTGCGTTGGGGCTTATTGCGCGTAGCATTCGCTCCTTTTTACTGGAACTACTGGCGCAGTCATACATCCTTTCGTGTTGCTGTTTATATCATGGTTCACTTTTTTCTACAGTTTTTACAAGTAGTATTTTTCCTTCTGACGGACCCGCGGACTAGTAACGTAAGTCTCTTTTTTAATAATATTTTGTAACCTTTACTATTTGGACTAAGAAAATGAAGCTTATCAAAATTTGGGGTTTCATATGGTTTAGCTTTTAAATGCAAAACTTCTATTGGTATGAGAGTTTTTAAACCATTTAAACGATTTTAGTTTTGTAATCACCCAGTTTAAATATAGGTATCAATCTAGTAGATAGACTCATTATTTTCTTTCAACTTTGGATATATTATAGTTCATTTATTCCCCGTCGACCAATTTCTTTATATTGATTCATCATAGCATCTTATTTCTGTGTTGAACTTTTCATTCTAAACGTTAAGAAATTGTATCGTTTCAAAACATTTCATTATTGTATGAAGTACTTCATCTCTTTATCTTTTATGTTTATCACCTGTGGAATAGACTGTTTTACAGTGCTAATTCATGTGGGATTTTCGTGGTTTATAAAACGCTCGCTTATTATCTTTTTTTTCATAAGACTTTATTGTAATAATATCAACTTTTGTGTTTTACGACTTCTGTGATGCTTTTAATGCTTCAGTTTTGTTTGTTTATCATCAAGTGGTTTTTTTTAATTTACATAAAACCTTTATCATTTGACATTACACATTGTAAACAGCTGGGAAATTTGAGCGTTAGTTTTAGTTTTATCGCCACACTAAGTTCCGGATTATTTATATGCAAACGTTCTACTGAAGTCTTATAAGTATAACTGGTACCTACACATATAAACATACCAGTGTACATTATCCTTAAGTATTGTTTCTTTGTTAATTATTTTGTTATCTGCAGATTAACGAATGCTTCAATACCATATTTTCATAAATCAACAGGTATAATGAGGAAATAACATAGACTTATTAGTAATTGAAGTCATAATATCACATGGTTTTGATAAATTTTATGTTCTCATTACACAATTTGAAGTTGTATTGATTTTCCGAATTTCGGGTCACTTGGTTGTATAACTTTCATAATACGCACATCTGTGAATAAAAAACGGCTTCAACTATAAATTCAAGTTACTCGAAGATTGAAGCAAACATCTTTTAGTGGATCCAGTAATTTCTTTTAAAAATTGCCTTTTGTAATATTAGTACATTTAAAAGCTTTATTTAGGAGATATTCCGTTTGGTTTCGTGAATTGTCACATTTAAAATACTGCTCATTAATCCATTACTCATAGATTGGTAGTTTTTAAGTTAATTATAAAGTTATGTACTAGCGAAAACTTATGATAAAAAGCGGGTTAAAAATTAATCTTTCCTTTCACTCTATGCCTTTTTTAATTAAGAAAATAGATTGCTTCTATCTCTATTCCCAGCGTAGGTACAACCTATGGTATGTGTTTGAATTCCCAGACCTCATCCGTATCTGTCTAGATTAATATTTGGATTTGAATACATGAAGTAAATATCGGTTACCTTTAGATAGCTTATGATTGCCCACCAAAAATATCAATAGCTTGTTGTTTACTACAAATAGAAATCATTCTAGCATTATGTTCCCCGGTTTTTAATCCAAACTATAAATTTCAAATCTATTGTCATTATTTATGATTAATAAATAACTTTTTTAATGAGTTAGTAAAGCCTAAACTGTGTTTTCCGAATTTTTTTGGTGTTCAATGATCATAATTCTGAATTTTTGTTTCAGAGCTCTCAGGATGATTTACTTCTTCCTTGCTTATTGGCTATTTGTCTGGGTATTCTTCATGCACATATTACTGCTCCACATGGGAAAACTGGTTTATATTCGTCTTTTATGGATAACCCAATGACCAATCAATCTTTCAAAGATATTGGTGACCATGGCTTGAATCCAAATTGTTGTCAATACAATCCGGACAATTTAGTAAATAATAAATTTAGAAGTGTACAGACTGTTTTAAATAGAAATAGTGAGTATGACCATTCATCTTGGTTTCCTGTACAGTCAACTATTTCAGAGCATCACAAATCTCCAGCCATTATGTGAGTTCTATAGTAATGTGTATTGATTATTAATGCATTGATCTATATCAACTGACATTCAATTTCGAACACCTATTGTTTCCCAATTAGGATATTCTAGTCAAGTAGGGTTCTTTTTTTGGTATTCATATTATCTCTTTTATAAGGGTGAAGATTAGATATTAATTTATAATTTAATTATTTCGAATTACTACCTCTTTTGCACTATGTTCAGACATTTTGAAATGTGTAATCATAACCTGTTTCGATAAGAAACGCCACGCTTTCATAAGTTGAAAATTCAGTACAATCTTCTTCAAAGTATCGTTCTAAAGGATTTTCCAGTTATATGCTTAAGTTTTCATACAACTTTATATTTAAGTCACTGTTTATTGTCAAAGTGCGTGCTTGGAATTTTTTTCCTAGCATTTTTGTATAAGTTTTATGTAGTTTTTGAAGTCGACATTCGTTAAATTTTTGTACAAAAAATTTATATTTTTTTGAAAAAGATACTTTCAAGAAGATTGAGTAGGTTCTGTAGAAGAAAACTAACATTAGCTATTGTACTAATTGACAATAAATGAAAGTTCAGCGATTGGTCTTATACAGAGAATAGGAACAATCTTAAGTTTCATTACCAATCACTGAGTATTATCACGGTTTGACTTGACAGTTTCAGACAGAATAAGCATCGGGCAGATCGTTAACAATAAAATAATCATACACTTATGATATCCCAATGAGTAGAAATTAAAATTCCTGACATTTCGTGATCTAGTTTCAGTCAGCTTCTCCAGACAGTAAATTAGTAGCCTAATTAAACTAACACAAATTGAGATAGTAGAGAAGAACAACGAAGAATATTTAATTCGATGGAAATCAAGACAGATCTGATTCTGGTAATGTTATGTCATTTATGCTCAAGGTAATTCTATAAGAGATTACCATGTGCATTTGCGTGTATGCTAGTGGATGTACAAAATGTGAAGACATAGAACTAAAGTTTAAGTGTGTATGCACTAATAATGTATGGGTTGAGTGGAATATGGTTGTTTGGATAAACAGTCCAAGTTGGATGAATTGTCCGTCCTTTCTTTCTTCACACTTTGTACATCCACTAGCATACACGCAAATGCACATGGTAATCTCTTATAGAATTACCTTGAGCATAAATGACATAACATTACCAGAATCAGATCTGTCTTGATTTCCATCGAATTAAATATTCTTCGTTGTTCTTCTCTACTGTCTCAATTTGTGTTAGTTTAATTAGGCTACTAATTTACTGTCTGGAGAAGCTGACTGAAACTAGATCACGAAATGTCAGGAATTTTAATTTCTACTCATTGGGATATCATAAGTGTATGATTATTTTATTGTTAACGATCTGCCCGATGCTTATTCTGTCTGAAACTGTCAAGTCAAACCGTGATAATACTCAGTGATTGGTAATGAAACTTAAGATTGTTCCTATTCTCTGTATAAGACCAATCGCTGAACTTTCATTTATTGTCAATTAGTACAATAGCTAATGTTAGTTTTCTTCTACAGAATCTACTCAACCTTCTTGATAGTTTATAATCATTAAGATGCTAAATGTGACCAAACATAAGAATTTAACATTTATTTATGTGTATAAACTGGCTTTAGTTACTCAGCGAATCATCAGTCAAAAAACGTAACAAATCCCAACAAAGAACATATAATCAATACTTCAGAACAATGTGGACATTCAAGTAGTGGTTGTTTCGAATGTTGCAAAACCTCTCAGTTAATGGACAGAAATTACACTAAAGCACAACGAAATATACACTGGAGACCATGTGAGATGAAACCGAAAAAAGCATTAACTTCGTCCTATAAGTTTTTAAAAACTCACCTCGACACTGATTATCAAGATGACTGTTCTGATATGTACGGTCCAGGTGATGATACCCAACATGAATTAAATGTCTCGGATGTTACTCATGGAACAGATGGTCCACAGACTCCATGTACATTAGATGAAGAATGTGGAAGAACTACACTTCTTCATAATTCGCAGGTATTAGAGCATAGGTCGAGAGTAGTTCGAAGACGCAGACGTCACAATAGTTACAATTCAAAGCCTGGTAACTCAAGTCGTGGACACGATGCAGATGTAGAAGAGAGCGAAGGTGAACTTATAACTGTCCCATCTAGAAAAGATGTTGGGGAGATTGGTTTCAGTGATCAAATAGTGGATGGTCTGAATCCTGAATTCATTCAACAGTTACGACTAAAAGGAGGTGTTGGTTCAGATAACCATTTTGGGTCTTCTAATTCAGATATAAATCCAGATTCCACAGTTCTACGTACGATAAAACGAGTATCTGAATCTCCATTCAAATCTTCAAATTTACATACGTCTGCCAAATTACCAAATACTCTGGGTGATTTTTCAGCCGTAAGCGTTTTATTCTTCGTAAAACTTATTTCTTTGTGTGAGTTAATAGATATTTAACGTCAGAACTTTCGTCAGTGAGGCAACATAGTAAAAGATCGATTCTCATGTATGGCACAATGATTAACTGATCAGTAGCATATTTCATACCTAAATCTGAAGACTAAATCGTATGCTGCCTGCCTATAATATAACTTACCAGATTTAAGTTCACATTAATCAGTCAGTCATAAGACACGGAGAACCTGGCACATATGTGTATTGGTTCACGCCCCCATTCCACATTGGTGCAGCGAGATGAGATTATCGAAACAAATGCCAGACAATTATATGTAGTCGTAGTATCGTTAGCTGTACAAAAAGACAGTGAATTTTTGTAATAAAATGTGAAGTAATTTTAAACTCAGGAAGTTATAGAAGATAAAAAGAAAATGCATGTGGATTATTGGGATCAATTCTGAGCTATATCATCCATCTCCAACAGTAGTCACGTGGGTTCCAACCTATCTTTGATCCAATGTGTTTGGTTTGAAGGTCAGTAATTCTAATCAGCTGCCTAAACCCGAAATAAATGAGGAGTAATTTAAAACATATGGCCCACTCGTTGTGTGTTATAAAACCTAAGGGCTTACAGATTCCAAGTTTCAATTATACATACTTTACCTAATATTTATAATTACACTTGTTACCCCTCGTGAAGGAGCATGGGCCGCTCACCAGCATTCTTCATCGAACTGTCCTGAGTAATCCTTTCCAGTCGTTATCGATTCTTTTCATGTCTGATTCCAGTTGCCGACGCAATGTGTTCTTTGGCCTTCCTCTTTTTCGTTTCCATTCAGGATCCCTAGGTTAGCGCTTGACTCGTGATGCAGTTTGACGATTTCCTCAATGTGTATCCTATCCACTTGCAACGTCTTTTCCTAATTTCCTCTTCAGAAGATAGTTGATTTGTTCTCTCTCACAGTAGGATATTGCTGATGGTATGTGGCCAACGGACATTGAGTATCCTGCGTAGATAATTGTTTATCAACACTTGTAATTTTTTGATGATGGTTGTGGTAGTTCATCAAGTTTCAGCTCCGTACAGTAGGACTGTTTCGATGTTCGCAATGAAGATTCTGACTTTGATATTGGTTGACAGTTGTTTTGAGTTCCATATGTTCTTCAACTGTAGGGATGCTGTCCTTGCTTTGTCGATCCTCGCCTTTATGTCTGCATCAGATCCTCTACGTTTATCGATGATGCTGACCAGATACGTGACACTATCTGCCTCTCCCAGAGTTTCTCCATCAAGTGTGATTGAGTTGGTGTTCTCTGTGTTATATTTCAGGATCTTGCTTTTTCTTTGTGTATGATGCGGTTCACTGCTTCAAAGGCTCCTGATGCACTCTTTGTCTTGACCTGCATTTGTTGTGTATGGGATAGAAGGGCCAGATCATTTGCAAAGTTCGAATCGTCTAGTTGCACCCAACCTGTCCATTTTATTCCGTGCTTCCTGTCAGATGTGGAGGTCTTCATAATCCAGTCAACCATCAGAAGAAAGAGAAAGGGCGAGAGTTAGCAGCCTTGTCTGAATTTGGTGTGTTGTGACTTTAAGGCTTGCTATTTGTCACGTGATTTATTCGCCAATCGAAATACGACTTATTCAACCTTAGTATTGTGCTAAGCCAATGACGTTCGACCGGTTCGAGCAGCCTAGCGTCCTTATCGGTCCTGCTTCCCGCCTAGCCCTGCCTGTTAAGTCCAGAACACCAATCTCAGCCTCTGCAGTATGAATCATTTATTTCGAACATACTGGGTTTATATACCAGCCAAACAGACCGCATCACACCATAAAATAGGAAATAACATTTATACAAGATCAAGCCAAAATGTGGCTGTGAACGTGGGAGACTGTAATCAATGAACTGAACATAACTTAAGAACAGTAAATCGTACAATAATAATCTATAGGTCAAAATGAAACTTATAGGAAGAGGAATATAGATATACACAATTTAGTTACTGAACAGTTATACAATAACTATATATATATCTACATATATATAATATTAGTCCATTAATAGTTCTCGTAATTTAATCTTCACTAGGATATAACACGGTACTTACTTGGAATGCGTCAGTCAGCTGTTCTCCATGCACCACTTTACACCATAGTCTGTCGTTGCGGACGATTTTCTCAGGTACATCATAGTGTCGAAGAAGGTTCCATAAGGTTCTTCTGTCCACACTATCAAACGCCTTCTCATGGTCAATTAAGTTGATGCATAGTGACGAGTTCCATTCAATTGATTGTTCATCGATAATCGGTGGTGTCACGATTTGGTTTTGAGACCGATTCTCACAGAATCCAGCTTGTTGATCTGGAAGTTGGGGACCTGTTACTGAGAGCTATCTTGAATTCGTCAAGTTTGTCACTGTGTCGAGTGAAGGCTGTATTGAACCTTTGTACTGCTGTTTCCCCAGTTGTCCATTGCTTCTGTGGTTTCATTTTCACCCAGGCAACCACCAGGTAGATGGTGATCTGAAGTTATATCAGCTCCTCTCTTGGTTCTCACGTCTTCCATTGTCCTTGTGAATGTTTCAGTAATACAAATATGATGGATCTGGTTTTCCGTGGTGTGGTCTGTTGAGATCCATGTAGCTTTGTGTACGCGTTTGTGTGGAAGTATTGTGCCGCCTATAACCAATTTGTTGTATGCACATAGATTTGCAACTTCCTCGCCATTCCCGTTCCTGTCTCTCAGTCGGTTCATGTCGTCTCATGATATCTTCATAACCGTTGTTGTCCACTCCAACTTTTGCGTTTAGATCTCCCATCACGATGGTTAGGTTATTTCCTGAGCATTTCTCTATGATCGATTGCAGCCTCTCGTAGGACTGATCTTTGTCGTCGTCATTGCTATCATTGGTGGGTGCATAACTTTGGATAATATTCATTGTTATTCCCTCCTCCTTTGTTTTGAATGATGCTTTGATGATGCTGGATCCATAGTTTAAATTGCTTAAATTATTTATTCTGGTTAGCGTTTTTTAGCAATGTTTGTTACGGGACTGGGATGCTGACTCTATACCCCAAGCTTCTTTACCTGGGCTTGGGACCGGCAGTTGCCTTAGAGGAGCTATAGGCGGAGTTTTCAGCTATACGTATCGTAGATTTAGAAATTGAAAGATATTAAGATGGTGATCAAGTGAGAATTTATCTACCACAGTGCACCATGATAACTCATAAAACATTTAAGAATCCATGATCTGTGATATTAGTCTGAATCAATGTTTTTCTAAACTAAAATTTAACTTCTGAAAGCATCGAGTCTGTGTAGTTATTGTTTAAATGTTCTTAAGATGTTCTGTCTTGCTATCTTTTCTCTCAAAAAATGTACGACTTCAGATTTATTTTTCATAAATTCGAAAATCCGATGTAATTTTCCTTACTCTGGTAATTCTAGTATTTTCTCTTAAATACCAAACGCATCTCCGAAACGTATATTTACCTTATTTATATATGTTAGGTAAAGCGTCTATATTTGCACATGCTTATGTTCATATGTATATATTTTTATAAAGTGTTATTATTTCGTAAGGTATCCAGATGAATTCAAAATCGCTACAACTTCGCCAAGTAAAACTATACATTTTAGATTGGATGGCTGTTAGGCAGACTGAAAACCAACTATTGGTAGCGGGTTTTCATGTCGTATCCATAGCAAAAGGAAATATGTTCAGTAGAGAACTGTTTCAACTGAGTATTATAACACTGTAGGAAGTTTACTAGAAATATAATAATCAGTTTTAATTTATAAAGGCATTCAGTTCTTGCATTTTTATTTAATTAAAGTGTATATGTATATATGCTGTACTAAATTCTTTTCAATAGTGCACTGTTTGATACATTCATAAACTCATAGTTTGTTCAATAAATGTTAAGTTCTGATGACTTCTTAACTTTCATTTTTCAAATAAGATGACCTTTTAAGTTCATTTCATTCCACTGTCCTTCAACACTCAAATAATGTGATCTCTTGAATTGGTTTATGATTCTAAGATGTTAAATAAGCTGATATCATTATGTGTTCTCGTGCTCACTTTTAGCATGTTAATTAATGTGTTTTATTGCAGATCTTAAATATTGTTGTTGATTATCCTAGGTGGCTATAACTATAAATATCTTTCATCGAATCCAAGAATGTACGTTTATGTGCAACCTAGTTACAACTTATGTAACCCCAAGTACAATATCCCAAATATAGTTTCATTTATTTTGGATGGATCTAAAAAAGGTTCTTCCATACTTGTTCAGTGTTACGTAGTTGGAGGTAGTTGGCAGGAAACGTTGAGTTTAGGTTTCATGTTATTTACCACTCGCTAGCAAGGCATACCTGCAATCTTGAGGAATTTAATACTTCATGTGGGATAGGGACCTGCGTCACCCAGCTTTACAGTCTGAGATGTTACTGAGTTATTCGAGCCTCAACTGTCTTCTTATAGCAATGAGGTACTTACTATTGATTGTCCACTAAGTATTGCCCATTGTCATGTTTGCATAACCCTTAATCGCTAATCAAACTCTATCGATCTAGTTGTTTAAACTAGTGATTACAATGAAATTTAATCGACGAAATTCGATCAGTACTTAAGGACTAAACCAATCGATTATAGACCTGGTAATTAGAATGATTCATCAAAAGGTTTCTATGATGATTAGAATCTTTATTTTAAGATCTATAAATTCTACTAAAAGATTGTTGTGTGTCATCTAATTTATGTTTATACTTTTCACTCGAGTTGATGAGATGAAAACATTGTTTAATAATTTCAGCAGTCCTATTCACACTGTTTCATAAAACATTCAGGTTAATAAACAATTGATTACTGTTTTCATTCTTTTATTTTTTTTTTCATTTCAGAATACTGAGTCTTCAAATAATGTAGGTGTTTCGAAAACACAATCTATCAGTGATTCTCCTATCCCACTGAAGATCGATCAATTCTCTGAACTTGAATGTCTTCCACCTCATCTGTCTCATATTTCTTCTTTAAGTAGTTCTTTTGATTCTTTCATTGGACCTAGTCGCCGTTCATTAAAACGTTCATTGTCGATGAGCTTTCCAGTGCATAGTAAAAGTACTACGACTAATATGTTTCTAAATAATAATCTAATGTTAAAAAAATCATTCTCTGATGGGTTATTAAATTGTTCAATGAACTTTGATTCGTCACAGTGTCATCTATTCGATAATAAATTACTTGACGCATTGAAGCCACCGTTTCAACAAAAGAGAGACTTTCGATCCAACTACAATAATACGAAGGGTCAGGTTAGAGAAGTTTTAAAGTTATGTTCAAATCGACGAAATCGTTTGAGCAGTGAAAATATTTCATATCGTAAAATATCATTATCATCGCATTCTTCGGGAGCTGCAGAGTCGTCCACTAATTCTGCTCAATCTTTCAGTTCTGTGAGAAAGTTTCCAAAAGGAAATGGTCGCATTTTTGGTAAATTTTCATGATTTCTCCTTAATAACCTTCTAAAAAACATTATACAACCTGAAAAGTGGGGTTGTTAAGTGTTATCTCTAGTTTTATAGTTCCATTCCGAAAGGAGCTTATTCACTGTTTTTGATTTTACACTTTCATTATCAGAAATATCGAAGTACTGAGTTACGCAATGTTATATTCATATTCATTGCAATAAAGCTACAATGTAGAATTTGTGTATTTACAATTAAGATTGGTTTGTGTTGTTTGTATGGTATGATATTTACGAATTATTACTCAGTATTCTGTACGATCGTCTCTTAACCACTGGGTCACGAGCTAAAATCTACTGTTTACTACATGTAGGTAAAGTTTCAGTGGTATCAATGGCTTTCACAAACATACATTGGTAGCATGTTGCATATTTAATTGCTTTCTACAAACATTTGATTTAAAATTATCAATGTCAGTCAACATATCAAAGTTACCGATTATAATTTGTTTATTCGTTTTATTAATGTTTAGTATAAAGTATTTCTAATATTATATTCACATGATTACCTAACTGTAGAGATTATTATTATTATTATCCTCACCATCGTAAACATGTGTGCTAGGAATCCCAAAATTTTTGAAAGTAAAAGCCATAAATGTGTACCTCTATTGTTTATTGTTTAATTTTATGTTGATCAAGATGAGTAATTTGCTCTTTGCTGATAATAATAATTCTATGTTGTCTTAGAACATTTTATTTAATAATCTCAGTTGGATACTTTGCTAAAGTAGTTCCAACTGAGTTGTAGATAATGAGTGTTTTATGCTGAGCAGAACTGTATTTGAGACTTCATTACATCATATTTTTACATGTATATTTCTCTACTAAGCCCGTACATTTTTTTCAATTTACTACACCACATTAACATAGCGAAATGCAAAAGCAGAATAAGCACTAACAGTATAAGTTGTAGTAGGAAAGATTAGTATCAACAATATAATTCGTGAAGGAAATATACATTCGTGGAATCGAAAAAGAATATAAGATGGTTTCGAAACTTAGGTACTAAGGGAAGACAAAAATTGGATGCACCTAGGTCATCAATAACGAATATATATATATATATATATATATATATATATATATATATATATATATATATATATATATATATATATATATATCCTGATTATTATTATTATTCAATTATTTAATCCAGGTTGATTGAATATTCTTATTGACTGTATCACTTTTTAATTCTGTATTGTGATTTTCAGAATTGGAATCCGTACATGATGTTGGTGCAGAATTGACAGCCGATCCAAAATGGTACTGACAATATCGATTGTATTGTTAACTTCATATAAGTGACGCTTTGTTTATTTTTGGTGACCTTTAAAATAAATATATGTGCTTATATCAATATCCACCTGTCTATGCTTAAATACTTCGTTATTTGGAGTGTATGCACCTTATCATTTATCGTTAATCAATTATACGTGCTAAACACTAGTTACTCAAGCGTGATTAAAAAGTAGCTTAAAGTAAGCTTTGATAGTCGGACCGATTAAACGTCGAATCGCATAAAAAAGAATCAGTTGAATTGAATTTCTTAAGATCTTTTAGATTAAACCATTGTAATATCATGATCAAAATGTCACTTAACCTTATCGACCTATTAATGCTACGAAATCATTTTGAAAAGCATATTAATTTAGTACTCCTAAAAATGAACTATGTTGACTAATTACTTAACCATAATCAGACTTAGTTTCAATTCGCCACGTCAAGTAATCTGTGCTCATATCTGTTATCATCAATTTGTGTAATAAATTTACTTTCGACATTTGGATTGACAAAATATTCCACTTATTTCAGCTTCTGTTGAGATAACGAAAGTGACTACAAACATGTCTTGATGCTAATGAATAAGAATTGAATGACATCTAATGAAATGTGTTATATATCATGTTAACATCAACATCTACAAATTACCAATGAGCTGAGCCATATATATGTACTTACGTTTCTGTTGAATTATCGTCAAACGGATAAATGGGGAGATGTTTAGTTGAGTTTTTACTATAGATCCTACCCTTGTTGGTTACGACAGAATTTTTGTTTGAGGCAACTGTTCATTCAAATGAGTCTGGACAGTGAGAACATGGTTTTTCATATCTCTCAGTCGTCTAAATATGTTGAAGATATTTTGTGTATTAAAGGTGCAAAAAATTAACTGCACGATAAAATAGTATGATGTGTAAGTAGGTAACGCATAATAACTGTCTTTTCCAAGTACATCATTTTATTATGTGAATTATGTAGTTTTAAAAACAAGTGACAATCATCATATTGTTATATGCTGTATACTGGTGCTAATTATAATACTATCATGTTGTTTTCATGAATATAATCTAAATATTTGTTATTGTATAGCATAAGCGTGAGTCATCTATGTATTTCTCTTAGTTCTTCGTATACTTGATTGTAAAATATAATAAATCACAAGACAAATATCCTCAGTAGTAGTAAGTATTGCACCAAATACTTAAGTATTTTTATGCATTTGACGGAATACCATAAAATAGCAATAAATATTTTGTGTATTGAACTGCAGTTATAATTAACACCTAATTTTATTCACTTAGTAATTTGGGTATGCTCAATAATGCTTTTGAGTTTGTCAGTTGTACAGTAACAATCCTTGTTAAAGTTGAAAATCCCACATTTAATAATGAGGAGTTTAGTGGAATCTATTTACTTGTGTACGCATAAGATTATTTTCTTATGTATGTGTAAAAGTTAGAAAATGTAAATCATTTGACATGAACTCGACTTCTAAAGTAATATTCTAGTCACTATAACTTACTCCTGAGTTTAATCGTACGAAATGTAAGTTACATTTTGTCAGAGTTTGATAAAACATTTATTTAATGGTTTTTAGTTTTTATTGATCTGCCATCCTAATTTACTCAGTGGATGAGCCATTTCTTAAATTAGTGAAATCTCAAGTCATCTTACTTCAGTCTATTTTTATCAATGGGAGCTAATCCTCAAATTCTGCAAAATCTCTTGTATTGAACGGATGAATTAGTGAAACTAAGTTCTTTTTTATTGTCTGCAACGATGAATTATTCAGCAGTTGACTAATATTCTTTTTTATCAACTTTATTTTATTGTAATCAAAAGTGGTCGGTCTAGTGTTGACAAACATTTGGACAGGAAGACATATTCTAGTTACACTGATATATTTAAATCTCAACTGATTGAAGACATGAAACCTACTGTTCAACCACTTGAGTTATCTAAAGAATCCCAAAAGGTATGCAACTTATACTGATCAATTTTTCCTTTAATTGTGTCTTATTCCCATCAGTAAATGTATTGATTTTGTCTGTTAAAATTTCAGGAAAATGCTTATTAAGTTTTTGATTGAGATCTTGAACCAATTGATGTTAGACCATCACAATTGAAAACCTGGAAGCACTGGACGGCCGTTTCGTCCTATTGTGGGACTCCTCAGCAGTGCGCATCCACGATCCCGCGAGCGGGATTCGAACCCAGGGCCTTCGGTCTCGCGCGCGAACGCTTAACCAACTGGACCACTGAGCCGGCATCCAATGGTGATAGTTTCTAACATCAACCAATCCACGAAATTGCGCGACCAACTTCCTTTCTTGGTAACTAAGTTTCTAAACAATCTTGTATTCTCTTTGGATTACACTAATCTATATTTTCTCGAATCATATTGTTAGTACTCATGTTTTTTTCTATCTGACGTTTGTGCTGATGATGTCGTTCAGAAGAACGATGAAAGCTCCACGACCAAAACATCCAACTCAGAGAACAAAACTCCATCAAATGTCTGCATTATCTTAGCAGTCAAAATTTAAATAATCCTATTTTTCCGCTCAGCAAGCTGGTCCGAAGTTCCTCAGAGAAATAGTCAAAAGAAAATTATCAAAGATGAATAATATTTATAAACCACTTTCTGTCAAGTTATTCATTCAGATTTTGACCCATGTTCATATTACGGATAACTAACAGTTTCACTTGCCAAGTTCTGTCGTATTCTATATCAATTGTGAAAATCCATTGGGTCGATTAATTTATTCGTTTGCAAATACTAGCGTTTTATTTTTTAAAATAAAAGAAAGATTGCTCATAATTTCGTCTGTCTCAAATAAATTTTGGAATGGATCATGATCATAAGAAAGAATTTGTATCACTTTATCTGAAGGTGACAGTTTGTCTTGAAATGATTGCTGAAAATACAGCACTATATAGAATATTCTTTTATAATGAACTAAGTGTAATAATACGAAAGTATTATAGTATTCTGGTATAATTCAAATAGATCACTAGTTTAATTACTCAACGGTCAGATAACAAAAATGGTAGATTTTTCAAATCAACCTTAAAAGATTGATAAACTACAGACACGTTTGTATTTTAGTTGGCATTCGTAAATAATATGTCGGGATATTTAGCTTCATTAAAAAATGATTATCAGTTTGTTTATATTATTGTATCATATGAATAATGTTTTTCGTGACTTTTAGGATTCATTGTGTGACGTTCAATGTACACTGTATATTTACAAATATGTAATATAAATCATAAACATGTGAAGTTTTATTTTTCATTCCATTCCTTTTTTTGCATGTACTTTTGATAACATACTTAACAATTTTATTATGATATTTACAATAGTTGAATGAACTGAACGAAAAACGTGACTTACTACAAGATAGCTATGGTAAGCCTAATTTTTATAATTATTGATTCTCCCGCGGTATTCATTTTCTCTGGTTTGTTTTCATAATTTTTACGAATAATATTGAATACTGATCATTTGTGCTCATAAGGTCTTAAATTCACATTTTATACACTTATCGGTTACTTAACCCAATTCATAGGTATCAGTGCCAGGGTTAGACTTGATAGTTTCAAATAAATTTAGGATTCGGTAGAGAGTTAATAGATAAATATATTTTTGTTGTATCCCAATGAGTAGAAAAATAGTATTTCTGACGCTTCGTGACTTAATGTAAGCCAATTCTTCAGAGTAAATAAATAACAAAAATATACTTATGATTAACGTAATTCAGTTTGGTTCGTCTACTACTAGTATAGCTGTAGTGTTGGTGTACTATGGAATGGTATTTGTCATCTATTTGCACGTTGAAGCATCCAAAAGCAAATTTGGATAGCCTTAACTTTGAACTCTGAAACGAATAGTTTTAAGATGTTCAGATGTGTCCATAGTATATATAATAGCTTATTAATAATTAATAACGTGACTGTTAAATTGAATTCAGACCAAAGTGGACAGATTATTTCTAGATGGAATTGTTCATAATTTATGTAAATGTTTATGCTCTTACTGGTTAAATCGGCATTGGTTTGGCACAGCGCTAAAGTCATATAAGCCGTGTTTTAATTGGCGGTTAAATCACTTGATAATTTACAGGTTCATAAGTCATAACAATTTCACGTTATCAATATTTTCATCTAAATGTTTACAATAGAATTTACTTTAGTTAGTGTTGATGACATACGAATTTCAGGATTCATGTTTTCAAATACAAACCAAGAAAAAAAAAGATGTAATAAATTGTTAACTATTCAAGTAGGATCATCTTTTGAAATTGGGTTTTTAAAAAAATTCTTTATTTGTTTCATTTACAAACATATATTGTTATTGTAGGTTAAATTGAAATTTAAAGAGATTTTTCATCAAATTCATTGTTCTCTTCGTTAATTTATATTCTATTCGTTCATGTAGAATTTTATGTAGCAATTATGTTACCATAAATTTTAGTTATACGTCATTACTGTTGATTATACTTTTATTCATTCATTTATTCTCATCTATGAATAAATAAATGTATTAAAACTTAGTTATTTGTTAACATTTATCAACAGTTACAAAGTTAAAGAGAAAAATTTTCTTTAAAATATCTCTTTTTATCTATGAAATATTTTATCATGTTTTCTTTTTTTCATTATTTACTGAATAAAGAGTAGGAATTTTAATTCATTCATTGAGTTCACGTGGTATAGGAAAATTTTCCTTATTTTCATGAAAATATTCTACATGAATAATAGTCATAGATTTTTTCATTCCTTTAATGGTTTGTTAAAATAACCTTGGAGATTTATTTGTTCACGTGATTCTGTATAAGATTTCGAAAAAAAGTACTTTGTTCGCTATAAAACGAACCGTTTGCTCTTATTTTTTTAAACACATGAGTTTCCTTTAAATGTTACACAAAAAATGTTTCTTAAGAGGAATGTTTTTTTTTTAAAAATACATCGTATTTTTTTCCCCTTTCACTTTCCATTTTTATTATATGGTTTAAACATTTAAGTTCCATCGGAGATTTTTTTCTTCCTAACATAATTATCATTTCTAGTTACTCTATTCTCATAAAATCAATTATTCTCTATATATTGTGTAGGCGAATAGGTTCGCATTATATTCATTGGTTTGAAGCATAAAGAAACTGTAGTATGGATATATTCTTTCATGAATGCAATAAAGTTTTGGGCGATCACTTGTTTTTTCGTTCTTGATTTTTATTGTTTGTTATTTCATGTTTTATGAAATTGCAAGTTTCAACTTTATTGTTCGGTAAAAATATACAACGTATATAAATCCAACTTATTATTAGTACAATGAAAATCAATTGTAGTGACTATTAAATTAATAAGTTAAGATTTTCAGTGGAAAACTGATTGCTAAATAACGCATTAGTCTGCACTGCTGGGACTTTTGGGTCGGGTTTATTTCAGATATCTAAGTAGTAATTCTTGTTACGTTTTACTTTGTTCCAAATCGTGAGGCATTTTCAATTGTTTTGTCACTAGTAAATCTTTATTTACATTTTATAAAATTACTTTATAAAATTTTTATCAGTATATCTTTTCTGAAATGTTACAAATATATTATATTTGTTATTTTATCTTAAAAACATAACTTAGGTCATTCGGAATTTAAGAACAAGTCTTATGAATGTATTAATAAAGATGATACCATTACCGTGTTTAATCGACAACGTGCTAAATATTTACGCTTGTTTTTACAACGTGCCTTTCACCTACAACATCCACGTGTTGTTATAAATTCGAATCACACTGATACAGATATGCTTGAGCCAGATTCTGTTGTATTAAATAGTAAATGGTCAAATGAAAATTCGAAATATTCGGGTAAATATGTTCATTCATCTAAAAATCCTGATATTAATTTTAAACCATCTAATCAACGTATATCGTCGTTGAATTCCACAAACAAAAGTTGTTTAAAATCCACTCCACCGAAAATATTTTACAATTGGTCTGAGGCTAATTCTTTGTCTGGAAATATTAATGATCGTTCACAAACGACACCAACAACGGATGTTACAAAGTATGTCTGATCTTTTAAGATTTGAAATATGCGATTTCAATCTTAATTAATTAATTTTTTTGAAACTAGTAATTTCATCAATTTTGTTAGCCCTACACTAATGTTTGTTTGCAAACGTTTCATTTTGTTTATCTCTACTGGTTTTTCATTAATCTTACTTCTCCATGTGTTATCGATTACTGATCGTTTATGTCGAAAACCTGATAGTATTCAATATCTGTTTTTAACTGTCCAGTTTAGAAGATAGACGTCCATTCACGTCTAGTTCTTCAGTGTTATTTCCGTTTTATTACGTTGGTGATCTGAAAAGTCTCAAGAATAATAAAGTCGTTAATGTATTTAGCATATGACAACTTTAAGTGTAATTCTTTCACATTGTTTAAAACTAAGATTCTAACAGGCGCATGAAGTAAAATGCTCTCTGTAGCGTTTTATAAGGAACGGAAACCCAACCTATATTTGAAGTCCTAAATCCATTGTACATCTAGTGACCTTATGACATCATTGGGTAATAATAGGTTGTAATACATGGAGTTTTTAATTATATTTTTTCTGTATTATCTCTAGGTTTTAGAAAATATTGACATGGCTGTGTAAATAATCGTTTGATCATTTTGGTGATTAATCATTTGTGGGATGTCAGTAAATGTTGTAAATCAACAGATTCAGTTTCATAAGTAGTTATTCACTCGGCTTCATCGTAATATTTTGTGTTCGCGATCTATCATTAATCTATTGTTAGTTTTATCGATCGAATCGTTCACAAAATGAAAAATTTCCTTAAGTTCAGGCAACTTGTCTCACACTAACGCGCTCATCATGGCGCTTCACGATATTAGTTATTAACAAGAGTCGCTGATATACATTTATTTTTCTCAATTTCATTTGTTGAGTTACGATGAATTCTTCGAGTTATAAGAACCAGCTTATCAAGGCTAAGCTAAACATTCATTAATTACTTGCCACAAAATTTGATGGCTCAATTGATTCTCGATAGGCACTAACAAATTACTGATATAGACAACACTTTCATCAACACTCCGTGTTAAGATAAATAAGATGTGCTTAGTTGAGAAAGTGGCTGATTTATTTTTTGGCGAAGTTCTCCTAAATATTAATATAGATACTTCAGTAGGTATTTTGGATCTATTTAATGACCAAACTGAAAAAAAATATTTCCAAACAACTCCTACGATAATTAAACATACTGTCATCATTGCACCGGATCAGTTGAAGTAAGGATGCTCAAATCATCAGTCGCTGATTCCTGAACAGGCAGTTTTTATGTACACTAGTAGTTATTCTCGTTATAATTCCCTGATTTATTACTTGTTGCAATTCAGTATGATATCTATTATCTTGTATCTGTATCGAAAGTAGATATGTTCAATTGTGTTTAAGCACAAGGATCCTTTTATGAGATTTTCGAGACTGGTTATGCTAAAAATGTTTCAGTGAAAAGTATTTGCATCGAGATTGGATTCCTAAACGTATAGACATTGTATGCGATACATTTCCTCATATGGTTTACGTACCTCACATTAGAAGTAGTAATTTAATACAATGGATTACTCATATTTCTTCATAACATTTATAGATGAGCGTTTTATGTTCTTCCTTATTCAAATGTATATTCATGAAAAGATTACGGCCTTTAAATCCCATTCGTATCTCAACTACTTTGCTTTTTTATTTAGGTTAAACGTTTACTACTAATACATTTATAGGTAGCGTCAAAAATAAACCCAAATATTTGAGCTAGAATTCCTATTCGTCCATACCAAATCATTTTCGAAATCCAATGACTGCATAGATTTCATTGTTTTATAAATTCCTGGTTTTAGTAACCCTAGTAAATTAATTTATTACTGGTTTGGATTCAGAAGGAAATAAAAAACGGCGGCTACAATTTATTAGCGGATAGCACGGATAACAAATCTGCAAGTACATCGAGCGAGTTTGAAGCAGAGGGGCAAATGTGTGTATGCGAGCAAATACAGAGGCGAATTTATGGTCAAACTGCATAAGGGCACAGCAAGGCAACGCAAAGGCTATTAATGATATTAGAGCACATATATACATTGTAAGGAGAACGACTCATTGGGCGATATTTAAGTTATTAGCATTTTAGCTAGAGAGAGATATGCCTAGGCTGTTACATGTGATCAAGCATACACGTTTATACAGACGTGATAGGGATCATAATAATGCAAAGTAATCGACGAATTGTTACTGTTCGAATAACACTGTCTGTTAAATAAGTTAGTAAAATGGCTTGACAAAAGTTAACCATAATGGAAACTGATTGTAGGAGAGTTGCTATACGTTTACAAATGTAGCTACACCGCCACCACACATTTCTTATTTCTTGGTCGATCCTGACAATAAATATTTAAATCTTGTAATGATACTAAGCGATCGTCTTGTAAATCATTTAGCCAGGATTCTTGAGTTGTGATTGCACTACATTTATGATACATGTTTTGACTTAGTAGGAATTAAAGATAGTCCACCCTGCCAATTTGTGATTGGCAGTTAGGATCTAAAAGTTCAGAAATGGACATCTGATTAATGTTTATTTATTCAAGGGATTTTTCCAGCCATCACGGTGTCTGTGATTGTACTTTTTTGTACCTTGTAAAGCGATAGGACGTAAACGTTTCATAAATGCGTCTGAATAGTTTGAGTGGTTAATAGAGACAACATTGTTAAAACAAACAAAAAAGTATTTTGCTGAAATAGCTAGATGGTAGAAACAAGTAGCCTAGATATTCAAGCAGGCCGCTGCTTATGTATGTTTGTCAAGTCCTTTGTGCAGATCAGGTTTTATCGATCGAATTGCAGTGTGGTAATTAGTCTAGGTGTCTTGATATCATTTGCACTACGTTTAAATGTGAGGTGGTGGTTATCGACAGTGTTTCCTGTCGAGTATCTCCAAACACCACCTTATATGTACTCGTTTTTGTAAGACGCTCTCCATATACTATAAAACAATGCTTTGAAAAATGTTTAAATTTTATGAGTGGACCTGATTATTTTTGAAACCAGTCGTCTGAAGTTAATAGTTAGAAAGATTAATGTTATTAACGATGCAGAGATTGCATTGAAAGTGTAATCTCAATAGGGCTTGATTAAAAACTAAGCAACCAAACTCATCTTCAGTGCATGTCATTGTGGATAGGCAATAGCGCTGATTTGGCATTTTAGATTCTTTGTTTGAAAATTTTAAGAATCTTGAGTTAAATTTCAATTTTATTTAACTAGTGTTATTGTAATGATTATTATTAATACCATTATTTTACTTTGTTGTATAAATTCCAGGCTGTTGAAAGACAAAGTATTTCATCAGATTACATTATATTCGCTTGTGTTGCAACATTTGCACTACCACTCATATCTGTTATATTTCATTCAACTAATTCATCAAATATACTGGATAATAATAATCATAATAACAGCAATGATAATAGTAATCAATATCAATCATTATTTATAACAACAAAAGGTACACTATTATTTTTTGGCAATAATTCAATGAATCGAACATTCAATACTAACAATGCTGTTTTTGGAGACACTGTTATTGGGTTATATTTACATGCTATATTAAGTTTATTTGGTCATTTATTTTCGACCGTTACTGTAAAAATTCATAATACATTGATTGATACGAATTTACAAACTTCTTGTTGTTCGCAACCTTATTGTATCGTATTTTGGAATATTGTGACTGGTCAATTTTTAATGGATTGGTTTTCAAAACCAGATGTACAGTAAGCTATTTTCATTGTTATTTTATTGTAATAGTCTGATGGAATGATTTACTTCTGGCGTGAATTCTTACCCATTGTCAGAACAGAAAGTCAGATGAATGGGTACATAAAACACTTTGATACTTCATATCATTCATGATGGACTGGTTGCCTGTGAAAATTTGAAACGTATACGGAGAGCCTTATTGACATTCGCCTATCGACGCTATCTGGGGGCACATGGTGTCTCGCTAAGTGTTTGTAAGAAGAATAAACTATGTAGCTCTCTTTACTTTGTTGTTTTTCGGCTGTAAGGCATAACTTAATGTACTTTAAGTTTAAGTTGGGCAAAAACCGCAGATCAACATCTGGCACTTGTCCGTGTACTCATCAACTATTGTTTAATGCAGTGAGGTATAAATTGCCTAGAAGAACTTGTCTCACAACGGTAGAAACTAGTGATTGAACACCATCGATTAAATAGCTTAGATCCAATCTTTTGACTCAAAGGATTCACTTATTTTTCTAGAAACGAAAAAATTTATTACTCTTCTTTTACTTTACCTTCTTGCTTGCTGTACAATACATACCTATTCAGTTTTGTATTACTGCAAAAACTCTGGTATTGTCATCTCGTCTATTGATCCAAGTTGAATTTTAACTAAAAAATGTTTTATAAGTTTGTTACACACTTTTATTGTGGTGTGCGGAGTATTTGTCTTTTTTTCACTTCTCATTAATCAGACCAAGGAAGTTAGTGAAATCAGAGATTTATGGAGCTACAAATGTATTATTTCTTTTAGTGTTATCTATTAATCATTTTGTGTGGAACACATGGAAAGTAGTTTCAGGCTAATGCGCACTGCTGAGGAGTCCCACGATAGGACGAAACGGCCGTCCAGTGCTTCCAGGTTTTCCATGGTGGCCTAGCTTCAATTGACTCATGATCTCAACTGTTGAAATTACTACAATCTCCACAAAACCCCTTCTGATACTAATGTTTATATATATATATATATATATATATATATATATATACTAACAGATTGTAGTAACTGCTTATTGTCTATCATCTGATATTTTATCTATACTTTTCGCTAAAATTATTTGATCATCTATGTTTAAATGAGATTTACACGTTGTATAATAATTCTTTTTAATTTCATTGTAATTTAAGTTTAGAGGTTGTAGATTGATAAGGTTTTACATATTTGATATTCTTTCATCACTGAAATACCATTTTTTCAATATTAAGGTATCCATAATAATTGTCAACTGACCTTGGTCTTATTACTTCATTTTTGTGTCTAGAGGACGTTTGGTTATTTTGATTGGATGTATATTACGCTTCAACGTTTATGGCACTGTATTCTTTCTTCTATGTATTGCTGAGCGTACATTTCAAGAGGTAAATCATCTATTACTTTTTTAATGTTAATTTTACTTGTACACAAACTAAATAAATACTGTAATGAACCGATTTTTATTCTTCTCTTATCATTATTTAGCGTTTGCTTTACGCCAAATATTTCTTTTCTTTAACATCCGGCCGTCGTGCTTTAAAATATCGTGTACCACAATTTCGTTTAAATAAAGTTGGTCACATAAAATGCTGGTTAATGCTTCGGTCGTATCTGAAAAAACGTGGTCCACAACGCTCGGTTGAGCATATTATGACGATTGCATTTTATATCGTCTTTACCCTTGGTCTTAGTTTATGCGCTCAAGTTAGTAAACTTTTATTATTTTTTCCTATTATTTATTATGCAACTTAACCCACCCATATTAATGTTCTCGTGTGTTCTGTTCGTTTTTAAATTGAACTTGTCAGTCAGTTGGCAACAACGTAGAACTTCGTACGTACGTACATCAGTTCAAATTGAACTTGAATGATTATGGAATGTAATTATAATTATTCTTCACTAATAAATTAAGTGACATTATTCATGATACAAAAGTTTACCTTTGTAAACCATTTTATTTGTTCATACAAACCAGTAGGCATGTGGAGTGCACGAAATGCAATGAATTCACTTCATTCTACAATATTTGTTCTTGCATCACTCAAGTTTGTCACGAAAACTGACCACATAAAATTGTTTATTTTAATCAATGTAACCAAATATTTACAGGAAAAATCAACACAAATTAGAAATTTATTACGGTTAACCAATAAAAAATCTACGATAATTGAAAACTGCTTATTACTGATCATTGAGGTCGATCACTGTTTCAAACACTTAGATCTGAGCAACCAAATTTCTGATCAAATGATTATAGTTTAGATGTCTGTTTTGAGTATTTTTAGAAATAAAAACCACTAATCAAATACCAGTATTTTTACTCGAAATACAGTAGTAAGGAGGAGGGAGATTTTTCGGATCATTGTGCAACTTAACAATGTTTTATCAGGAAGTCTAATAGTTGTTTGTTTTCGGAATTCTGATATCCAATTATAAATTACTCTTATTTATCTATTTATATTCTGTTTTCTTCTTTATAGCTTCTTTCAAAAAGCCGTATGAGTGTTTTCACTCATTTAACTAATTGGGATATTCTGGGTCTTTCTTTTGGGATTATTGTATTTCTCTATCGATACATTTTACTTGGTACAAAAATTACAAAGAAATACCGTAACTTCTCAGTACTTATCACTGAACAAGTAAGTTCATCATTCAATTTTTATGCATAGTTTTTTTCTACATTTAGTTATTCTATTCCAATTATTTTTTTGTGTGTAATTTTCCTTAAACTTTTATAACAATACTTTTTTTAACTCTCCAGACGAACAAAGTAACGTAGAGTATTTTCACAAAACGTTGTACAATTCATGACATTTTAGAAACATCCACATTGTAATCTTTCTAAGTTATGTTCTGCAGGTATACGAGAGTGTGTAGTCTGTTAGATAAAAAAAACAAATATATTATGTCTTACCGTTTTTGGTAATTGTTTCCTGAATTATTCAGTTGCTAGTGGACATTTTTGTGTATTCGTGAAATATTTGATATTCAGAAATATCACGTAAAATAGATACATTTAGAAATTTGGGATCATGCTATGTTGTAATCTAAGAAAATAAGCGGAATGATGAAGTAATTTATATCGTTTCGAAGTCTGTTTCATTCGTTATTGTAAAGGGACTTTAAAAAACATATGGTATGATGGAAGTCAAATTAAAGGTTTTAAAAGAATCAATTATAGAATTTTCTATTGGTTGTGAATTCTATTTGCTTTCAATAGCAACTATTATTTGATTGTCGAAATTAACATAGACAAAGAGATTTTTTGTGACTTTTGTTACCTCTACTATGCAAAAGACAGTTTGAGTAATCTCTCTTGTCTTACGTTGTAATTATCGTTTGCATGGAGTTGAAAAATACCAGTTTTTCAATATCAAGAATACTGGTGTACTACTGTTTGCTTTACAGTGTAGTTCAGTAAACTTGCTTGTCATAATTCTGTTAGGTTATAAGAAGACAAAGTTTTGCAAATTTCACTTTTTTATATGAAAGACTAAACAAACAGATAAATAGAAATGATGAACAACAATATTTTCAGTATGGTGCTGGGGAAATTTCTTGAATTCCATTAAAATCATAAACCGATCAGTGTTAAATCACGATCGAAAACCTGTAGGCACTAGAATTCCATTTCGTCCTGATGTGGTACTTCTCATTAGAGCGCATCCATGATGCTACACACGGGACTCGGACCCGGCATTTTCGGTCTCGCACACCAACACCTGACCACTAGATAACGGTTTTAATTTCAATCAAACCACTATAATTGTAAAGGTATCAACGTGAATGAAAGAAGTAATCACAAATAGACTGGTAAGTAATATATGTGCATGATAATATGGTCGATTTTGAGCCATAACAAGTAAGGTCTGCAAATATCTTATGGATGCAACATAATTTTGTCTATTCTTTTATTGATTAGAATAACAGTGAGTTTATCCACTAGTGTCATATCACTTAGGACCTGAATGCTAAATATGCGTAAAATATTCTTGTCACCTCCACTAATATCGGTGTACAATTTTGTTAAATCCCGAATTTTTTAAATGAGAATTTAGTTCAGCAGGAAATACTGGTTAAAATCATCACACATTCACATCTCCTACTTTTCATCTATGTTATGTGTCCCTTTCTCAATGTTTAAAATATGAAGCATTAAAATTATGAAGCATTTTTAGATATTTTCCCATTCATTTAGTTAATGAGTCCTACATGTAACAGTATAATTTTCACTCAGGATTTCATTGAAAACTCTAACTTCGACTTTATTTACTTTTTCCATCCGACGAGTTCAAATGTACAACAGCGATTGTTCATAAAAGACGTATGTATGTAATGAACGATAAGTCAGGTGGGGCAACCAATGTATTGTTTAATATAAAATTACAGAATTTCTTGGTAAAATATGAAAACCCTACATTAAATACTTTATTTGCGAATTTTTATCATTTGTCCTTAACATTCTGTATGATTCTTCCAATTTAAAATTCCTTTCTATTGTCTTCAAGTTGATTTTCTTAGCCTTCTGCTGCCAGGTTTTCCACTACCGATTAGTTTTACATACTACCTAATATCTGTTGACATAAGTAGCACGCACCACATGTAGATAGCTTTAGATGATTAAGATGTTGTCTCCAGTGAAAATTACACTTTTATATACAACACTGACATATTGAGTAAACGGAAAAAAATTGCTAGAGATAGCAATCTTATTGAACACTTAAAAAAGAGTAGATAACTTCGCATATTTTTGAAACAATATGATTTGTTTGTTGACATCGTATGGTAAAAATTCAATGATAGTTGTTTTTGTTATTATATTGTTATTGAATTTTACTAATTTAGAAATGTAATAAAATACAATTCAGTGATCAAAGACACGTATTGTAAAACCATTCGAGCTATTGTTAATTTACTACTCAAACTTGAGTGTAACCCATGTTAAGTGCACGATTTTACTGAAATCTAATTGAATAAAACAGTTAATCATCAAACTAAGATACTTGATAAAGTTGTCATCTCATCTAGTCTTACATTTTACTTATTAATGATATTCTTTTTCATTGTCACTGATAACTATTACTATTTATTTTTTTGTTATTATGTTTTAGATTAATTTATATTTAAGTATGGAGAGTAAACCACATAAAAAAGAAGATTTAATGCTAACATTTCAAGTTCTACGTTTAGTTGAAGGTCTACTAAAAGAAGTTGATGGTCCATTTCGTGTTTGTGGTTGGACATTGAATCCATTAGTGTATAATATATTTAAATTAGTTTTACTTTCTTGTGTATCTACTTTACTATCTGAGTCATTGGGCTTTAAATTAAAATTATACAAATTAAAATTAAATCCATCCAATTGGTAGAACGATTAGATGAAAACATTGATGAAAAAACAAACGTAGAGCCATAAACAAGAAAAGTAACATAACTATTTATCCAATAACTATTCCTTTGTCTAGTTCTTTTTCCCAATTTTTCTTGTAATTAATTTAGAAAAAGATAGTCACCTTACTTACTTATTGTTCATATTATGTTAGTCTCAATCACAGTAAATTGTCGATTTCACTTTCATTCAAATAGAAATTCATATAAACTATTGTGTTTGTGTTTATTTATTTATTCTCATACAAAAAAAAAGTAAGAATAATTAAGAAAATATGTACTATTCACTTTCTTGTTAAATGATTTAATTAGTTACTAAATCAATATAATTTATCAGTATCAATGTAATCATATAAGCAAATACCAATTTTGATTTCTTTGTCTTACAAAATGATAAATAAAACTGTGAATTCGTTTATTTTCATTGTAGTGCTAATTCTACTTTTCTTTTTATTTATTATAATAGTAGTATACATGAACTTTTTGTGGTTTGTTGATCGAATCAATGCAAGCCTAAAATTATACGCATTTGTTGTTACCACTGTATTACAACTAAGGTTATTTATTCATTTGAAATTTGTTTGGCTATTATTGTTTCAGTGTGTGTATGTATGTGCATTTCATGGTCGCAACTAAAAGTCAATATATTACACGATATATATATATATCATATTGTAAGCTTCATGAAAATAAACTTGAGAAGAAAATCTGTGTTGCTATCTTCCCTCATATTTTGTATGATTGAATAAAATAATAATAACTATGGATTTGCCTTAATAATTCCCTTTATTTTCTGTAACTATGTGTTCATAGTGTAGAAAAACGTAATAGATTCATGTTAATTGTGTAATATTTTTTTCTCAGCCTTAACTGTTATGATTTATTGTGCATATACTGGAAATAAAAGATCATTGTTTTAAATTGTGAATTATTTTATTCAAAGTATTTTGTAGTTTGTTTTTCTAATCGTTTTTTAAAAATAAATTGAATACATTCTGATTTGAGTAGTGTTATACGAAAACGATGAAATTAAAGCTATGCAAAACGTCAATGAGCATCCTGCATATGTGCTACTATTCAGTGAAATGTGATGCTACAAATTTTTAAAAAATCTTATATTCATTTAACAGATTATTAAATGAGTGTATATTGTTGTTTCTCTTGTTCGTTACTTTTTTTTGTAAACTATTCTATTTCTTGTCTTTGTTTTTGTAACCAAGTCATAATTCATTAAAAATACTGTCATTATCAATGTTAGTATCATTATTGAGCGATATTATTTTTAAATGCCAGTAGCTTTTATTACGTATAAGATTTGCAGTATTAAAAAAAAGCATAACAACCAAGATTTACATTATTTATTACAATAGTGCATATATTACTGTTTCGTTCCATTTTTACTAGTTCATCTTGTTTGCATAACAAAGTATTACATCTCAATTTCAATAGTATTGATGATCATGATAATTTTCTTTTCTTTCTTCATTATTTTCTTTTTTGTTTCATTTCGGTTGTGTGTATTTTGAATAATATATGCTTTGCAAGTTATTCCATTAATTTTTCTGTTAATGAACAATAAACTAACTCTGGTACACATGATTAAATATGATATAAAAATAATAAGACGATTAACTGTCTCGGAAATATGGAAGGTTTTTGATTTTAGACAGAATTATGTGAGAAAAGTACGGTTTATATGTTGTATTGTATCCGTCCGATTTCGTTTACCTAAGTAAACAAGAGGTTTTTGGGTACAGTAAGAGACGTACTTCTATGTGTTGTAATTTCCATTCTTCATCAATGTTACGTCAACTCACTTGTTACAAGAATAATGAATATTTGTCACACTAATTTCAACATTTGCAAAACCATGTTCGTAACAATACATTAAAATAAAAAGTAGATCACCTGAATTTAAGTTCTTAGACGACCAATTTCTTTAATAATTCAAGTAGAAATCGCAATACAACATTCGTATTTGTGTAGTGTTTTATCTTCGAGTCAACATTCTAGGTAATATAATTTCCCATAATTTATTTTCGATCAGAATGGACAAATAGTGTGGTTTTTAGAGCACAGTATTTCCACCTATACTTTGGCATGATAGATTATGACTATTTCGTAGATTAGGCTTTATAGTTTATCATTTAGATCAAGTGACAAAATATGTTACTACTCTGAGGGGTATGAATATACAAGACGTTTGTGACTGGTTATCACTTATATATATATATATCCGAAAAGGCACTTTATGCTGAACTTATAGGATTAGTAATAGCATGTACCCATCAATACTCACGTTACCCTGTGTTGAAAGCCATTGTCGATGAATTTATAGTTATAGTTACATATCATTTAGCCATGGCTAAACTATTTAGTTGAAATTATCATTTGTGATCTAGCAGTTTTGATCTTTGCAATTTAATGTTAGAATTTATGTATTTTATTTACCATAAATGTGGTTTGTTGACTTCTATACAGTATGTGATTTATATTAAATTAACTACTTATGTACAGTTCTGTTCCTTATTATAACGATGCTGTATCATTTATAATAACTTAAATATCAAGAAAGAATATGATCAAATTAGTTCACCAATAAATTTTATTCATTAAAATTTAATAAATGTTAAACTACAATTAAGATTTATAATTTTATCAATCAAAAGTTATAAAACATACTCAATATGCAACAAATAAAATGAAAATGCAATAATAATGGCCCCAGTGTTGTTTTTTTATTATTTAAAATGTAATAAAAAAGTTTTTTAATTGTCACAGGTAAGAAAAAGGGCGCTGTTAAGAATTTGTTGTTGTTGTTGGTGGTGGTGGTGGTGGTAAATTTAAATATTATGTAAAATGACAATAGGGATGTTGCGTTATAGTAACCAATTAAAAATAATTATCACTATTAATTATGGATAATTGTTTCACTTTTCTAAAGAATTCAATGTAATATAATAAAGAAAAGGTATAACTATTGACATAAAAGATATTTATTATAGAGTGCATCAACGATCATATACAACAAGTTTTTTTTTAATAATTAGACCTATTTAGACTTTAATAGTAATTTATTAATATATAAGACTATTTAGACCTCGAGAAGCGTAAACTCCAGTGAATACTCCAAGAATTAAAAAGAATGCACCAAACATTCCAGCTAATGGAGCTCGATCAGGTGAACAACATCTAAAAAGTAAAACAAGTCGTTTTTTTATTTATTTATGGTATAAAATCGATCCAGTATTGAACAAGCTAAGGCTTCATTGATAATAAAAGTCTAGAAATAATCACTACAGTTCTGTGAGGGTTATGGTTCAGGTGTAAGATTCATTTATTAAGCTCCAACTGAACTAACTGTTGTGTTGCCTCGTAAAGTACTAGAACCTTCGTTGGATGTTTTTTTATAATTCCCAGTATATCTTCTGGCATATTAATTAACACTAATGTGTTTCAGTCTTTTATGAGTTTCGGACAATTTGTGAAATATGAAGTAAGCCAATAGTTTGGACGTATTGAAAGTAGGAATCCTCCGATGGTAGTTCATAAATTATGTAAACCATTTTTAGACATGAATGATGACCTTTCTAAACAACACAGTCAACTCACTAGATAGAAGCTCGCGGCCATTCTTATAAACAGAAGAGACTAGGTCATCTGGGCTTGTGGTGCTTCATAATTTATTGTTCATTGAACATCTCTTCGTTAGATGGATCAGAAGACATCGTCTAGGAGAGATGGGACAGTTCAATCAACGTTGCTGGAGCAACAGACTAGCTAAACTGTTCCTCGAAAAAATTAGCTCATCATCCAAGACGCGTTTGGATATTGATAATTGATATGCCGTCAATTCATAGATTGTTTCACTGACAATAAACTTCTTAATTCCAGTGACTTAGATGAGTTGAAGCAGTACCTAAATATGTACTCCAAAAGGAGTTAAAGTCTTGTTTTTATACATGCTAACGATAGCTGATCGCAGTGTGAGCCTTGTCTTGAGTTACAGAGGCAAGACGCTAAGTAACTCGGTCGTGAATGCAAGGGAAGTTGGTGCAGCCCATAAACTGTTAATGATGTTTACAAAGGTGTTGGAGCCGATAACGTCGTTTGACCTTCGACCACTAAGTCCCTATTGGCAAGAATCTCGATCTGTGATTTTAAACTTCCGGCTATCGCTATAACATCTATTGGACACTGAAAGGGGCGAGTTTACACCATACATATGGCTTTAGAAAATCTATATACATGTTCTTATTCGATAGCAACATTCACAAGATCGACGTGTCAGCGATTTGAGATCGTTTAGACAGCGCATAACTCTCAATAGACACGAGTTGCTGAGTTAGGGAATGAAAGCACACAAACGGGAACAAAACAAAATAGAAATTTAAAGTAGAGCAAAATAACTTCATTTGTAATATTTTAGTAGGTAGCTAGGTGGATACGACAGAGGTCTGTATTCATAATTATTGACATATTTACGTGGGGGTCGGGATACTACCTGGTCGCCAAAACGAAAGGTGATTTCTGTAGAGTCACTCTTTTGACCTCTTACAAAAAATACACCCTAACCAATTGAAGGTAATGAATAACACTTCCATGGCGAGGTCTTAATCACATGACCTTATGAGACAGCTGAATCTCACAATCCCCCACCCCACCAGAGTACTGTAACCGTAATCGAATAATTTAATGAAGATTATTAGCATTGAAAAAGAGTGAACATAATATTAGCTTACCTTGGTGCATACATTAAACCGAGTGATGCAAGATGTCCATTGCTGAATGCAAATAAAATACAACCTAATACATATATGTGATCATTTGTAATTAGAACAGATAGATGAGGATTTTCAATCCCGAAATTACAGGATAAAAAGAATGGGATGAAGATAATAGTACGTAACAATACAGGAATCCATAGATAACGCGGTCCTGGCTGTTTAAGACAAAGGAAATATTGAAAAAAGAAACTAAAATTTATTCAATTCATGGCTTTTTTCGAAAGTTCACATTGATGAAATTACATTTTGTAGCGTAATTGATAATCTTAATGATTTGGCTTGAACTTCTGTGATGATGAAGAGGCATAATGTTATAATGACGACAATAATAACACCAATTTCAAATAAATAAACACACTGTCAAGTCAGTAATAAGGAAGTTAGGGCTTGGTACAGATGTGTATCATATGTGCAACCGTATCACCACAAAGAGATAGTATGAACAAAGTGAATATTGACGTAGTAGTAGTATTACCATTATCACTCATACTTAAAAACGAGAAATAGGGAATGTGATTCAATTCACAGAAATAAAGGTTATGAAATGGTTCCTAAACTCAGAATCTAAAGGAAACAGACAAAAATTGGATGAATGTGGACTAAAAAAATTTCCGTTATTTACATTTCGGAAGGGATTTATGGAATAACAGCGAATTCTTGAAATTTTCGCAGTGCATAACGTTTGAACAATCAGATCATTACAACTACTTGCAAAAGTATTTTATAGCACTCAAGATCTCTCTTTTTTGTTTTCGAATAAAGTAGTTATCGTAATTGTGATTTAGTTTACAAGTCAATCCATATGATATTCACTGTTATATGATCCCAGTATCTTTACCGTAGAACACTGCATTAATAATAACTTCAGTACAGTAAGTCCATGTGCATCACCCGCTCTAGTGGAGCAAGGTAGTTAGGCCGTATCCAGCACCAGCTTTCAACTCGGATACGAGAACATGGCGCAGTGTGGTCCTATAAGAGTGAGAGGAAAGCAGTTAATTCTATTCCTGAACATGGAGTCGAACCAATTACTCTACCGAACAGGTTAATTTTAAGGCTGCTTATACAATTCGTTCAAATCTACCTAGATTTCTTCGTATCCAACTCCTTAAAACAGCAGAAGCCCTTGCCATTCATGAGTTGAAGCCAGAAGTGTTTGTGGAAAAGAAGTAAGTTTTATCGTTACCTTGGCCTTAAACTATTATTATTACTGTTGTTATTATTTCATCTCATGTTTGAAAATATCCCCCATCTTTTTACTTTTGTCTCATATCCTCATGATTTTATTCATAATTGTTTCTGATATCACGTCATTTCCTTCTAAGCTCTTTATCACCTTTTATTATTGTAACAAAAACAACTTAATCATCTTACTTCCTTCACGTTAAAGTCCGTGACCAACTTTATTAATTTTACAAGGCTTTCTATTTGCACACACACAATCTATTATTATTATTATTATTATTATTATTATTCATATCACGTGATCTAGTATTATAATCGTTCTGTTACATCATCATGTTAATTCCTTGTTCATATGTCCTCACGGAACTAATACATTAACAAAAAATTTCAAATATATAATGATTGTACAGCTTGATAGCGAATTCGTTGAAAAGAGATCCCGTCGTTGAATGTTGTGTTTTTCATGTTTAAATGGGAATCATATGTAAATTATACATATAATTGGACTGTTCGAAATTCATTGCCTTAATCTGATAAAATTCGTAGTCTCATTGTATCATCCGACTTTATGCTCTTTTGTGTCGTGGACACTAATTGTATTTAGAACTGAATAGGTTTAACGCAAGTTCTCTCATTTATCTCTAATTATTACCTTATGTTTTTCTTGAAATGAATATAATTTTTGTCTGATAAGCTATTGATTCTCTTGGTTATTAATTTTCATTGATCTGAAAAATTCCCCAAATTTTGTGTCAACATTTTAAAAAATTAATTATTTGTAAATGTTCCTTCAACAAAATGTGATTTTTAAAAAAAACGTTTATAAATTAGGCTGCTGTGGGACACAGGATTTCTTTATAGTGTCGTATGGATTTTCTAAAATGAAGTGTAGACTTTAATTTATGGTATAAACATATCAACATTGAATTTCTTATGAGAATAATGGGAAATAGCATCTTGTGATGTAATACTCTATAATCTACAATATATGAAATGACAGTTCATACGAATAAATTGGTTCTGCAAATTAAATAAGTTTTGTTGATCGTTAATTCGGTAAAAACAACTTCGATCAATTCTTCTAATAGCACTATTAACTCATGTAGAATAAAGCAAATGATAAATTCATACTATTATTTGTTTTAAATACAAATAAGAACTTGTTTTTAAAAATGACAACGATGAAATCAGAGTACCTTGAACCAATTCATTAAAGAAAAAAAATTTCAAAAGGTTAGGAAATGTTGAAAAATTACATTTTCTAAAATACTTAAGGAAATAATTTAAACAGAATGATGAATATCATATTGCTTAATCTTATATTTACTGCATATATAAGTAACATAAACAAAAGGTGCTGAAAATAATATAGTAAAGTGAATTAACTTACAAATTGTATCCAGTTACATAGAATACATCCCAACATTGCAAATACATTGAAAAATAAGAAACAAGTCACATCAACAAACCAGAGAGCTAAAACAAGTATTGTAAAATGAAAGAAATCACTTCAATTAAATAATATGAAAAGTTAAATGTCTAACAAATATGAATAAACTAGAAATAATAATTATTATTATTACTATCTGTCTTTCTTATAAGTAATTTGGGCGAGACTCTAATTCATGGACAGCTTTCGAACGAATTTTAAGTAACCTTGAGAATATTAGCCAATCAGCGAACAGTCAGTACAGAGTAAAAATATATTATACAAAAGCAAGGAAATAAAGTGGATACACTTCTTATACGTGGTTCAAAAACTTGTCAAGCTTCGAAAGAGGTTCAGAGGTTCTAAAATCGTAATGCATGTGGTAGGGGAAATCATCTATACGGCTACAGAATAGTCGGCCTTTGGAGTCATGAAAAAGTCTCAAAAACTCTTTCAGCCTCGACCACATGACTTCAATATTGTTTATGTACACTCCGGTTGTTGAGTACACAAAATGCCACTTGTGGATAACGACACGTTGCACATAACCAAGTCTATGTAGGAGTCTGTACGCTCTCCAAACATCAGTATATCTTGTAGTGCCTGGCTGCAGCCAGTGTTACTCGTACTTTTACTATCCAGTTCGCGATAATTGTCATAATTTACCTCAGTTAGGAATTATATATGGGGTTTTCATCACGAACTGTCATCAGCTATGATGCCAGAAATCTATTTAGACAAATGGATGGAAGGCTTTCGTGCCCAAATCCGAGATCTGTTATCTTATACGTGATTGATTCGTCCACAAATTATAGTCTCGCCGTTTTATTTGTTATAGCCGCTCAATTATCATGTTTTGTACAAAATTCCTTGTGAACCCATTGTACGTTAGCATTAAGCACTGAAGTTGGCGCCGTAACATTGAAATCCTTCAAACGCCTCTGATTGGCTCATCCATAAATTAGAGTCTCTCCGTAATTTGTTTGTCTATATTCAAAAACACAATTATTAACGAGAAGATGGTAAATAAAGTTTAATCTAAATAACCGATTGTATCACCGAATAAAAATAAAGAGAATTCAGAAAGAAGCGTATGCATTGCTGAAACATTGGTGATCTATTAATTCAAATACGAACTCTGTGTGCATAAATGATACATTTAACCTCTTATACTTCCTTGGAACTAATTCTCTAGTGAAGTATGTTTTGATCTTTTTTTTAATCATTTTTTTTGTAATGTTAAACCGTAATCATCTATTACAATCCTTAAATAATTTCGTGCATAAAACGATTGATGAGCAGTACTTAGGATTCGTAGACAATTTAGGACAATACAAATTTATGGTGCTCATTGGTTGTTAGTATTGGATTAGATCTTGGTTGATTGAAGGAAGTCAGGAAGGAGTTCTATTCGTTCTTACAGTTATATGAAAACGCGGATTGGACAATATTTCTAATAGATAAAATATATAAGATACAATTTCCCTTGTTGTATAGGGTAAGCTTATGAAAAAACACAAGTACGTAAAAACGTCCAAGTGAAACCCTTATAATATATCTATGTACATGCAACAAGATTAGTTACATCGTACTACTATTAATACATAAAAGTAGTTTAAAATTTAGGCCTTCATAATACAACTAAAATATTAGTTACATGTGTTATGAACGGGTTGTAAAAGCTGACAACTTACGTGGAATAAAATATTCTGGATTTACTGGTCTAACACGTGACTGAACTGCCGGAAATATGGATAGTGTACAAGAGAATACACACCAAATGTTTGCACACTGGCTCCAACATTCTTTCATAGTTAAACTATATTTTGACCAATAGTCTAAACAGCGTTGTTTACCACTAGGCTTTATATGATCAAAAATTAGAAAAGGAGGGGCTTGATATTTTGCTAGTTATAACAGTTAACAAAAATTATAGTGCTAAAATATGTTGACATGGAGATTTATATTCATGAATATTCATCCTTGTCTAATAAACAGTAAACATATACAATTTTTCCTTTTACTATAAAAGATGAGAATGCAATTGTGCCAAAACGCAACTTATCTCTACTAGACTAACAAGCACATTCAGTGAATTCACGAACCAATCTAAATTAGACCGTTGAAAACCTGGAGGCGCTGGATGACCTTTTCATCCTTGAATGTGGTTCTTAAGCAGTGCACGGTATTTCCCGGCTTTTAATCGTGGTCTGAGTTAGATAGATTCGTGATTTCAATGAAATTCAACAATCTCCACAACTCTATTTTGAAAACTGCGTAGTTGTTAGTGACGGTGAGAGATGAAACTAGTCATTTTTTGTGAAGGCTGACATAGTTTTCTAAGAAAAAAGTAACGATGAAAAATCTAGTTTCCTGTTGATCATTTAGTTTGCTATAGATAAAATATCACAAAACAGTCTTCCTCTTAACCTTAAAAACTTTCGTAAAACTATATTATTTCGATGTGAATGCATTCATAGCTTGAATAGACTATTCAAGTTAGATTAAATTACTACTTTAATTGAAACCAAAGAATTCCTTCAAAATCAAGAGTGAAAAAACTTTAATCAACCAAATAAGTTCTATGAAATTATTTTCCTTGATAAAATAAGAACAACAAGTACAGTAGAAAGAAGTGAATTCATTGCATTTTGTGTACTTTAAGTCTTCCATGTATACATACTGGTTTGTATGAATAAACAAATTGTTTTACAAACTCAGCTTTGTAATGAATAATTATAATTACATTCCATATTCATACAAGTTCAATTTATAGACGAACAAAATAAGTGAGTGTGTGTCACAGAGAGAGAGAGAGAGAGAGAGAATATGACGTAATCGACTGCAATAAACAAGCACAAATTACTATGACTTTGATAAACAAAGAGAAAATAACAGTAATCATCATAAATAGAATTACTCTTAGTAACCATAAATTAACAATGAAAAAATGTACAATGAAAATGTTATTGCTATTAATCAATATATAAATGATTTTATGTATGTTATACACAATTGTGAAACATTTGATTTATTTATCTAAATCTGTGGAAGACTAAGAGTACAAAAAATGAAATGAATTCATCTCATCTCATAATGTATGTGGTAAATAGCTAGTGAATGTAAATTGTTATAACTTGTGAACCTGTTTGCCCTGTATACTAGATAAAACAACGATATCGCCAATCAGAGAGCAGCGAACTATCGACCGAACCAGTGACGTATAAAACACGTGAGAGCAGCCTAGAGTCCTGATTGGTCCTGCTTTCCACCTAGCCCAGCCAGTTGAGTCCATAATACCAATCTTGTTTATTTCAAACATGCTCGGTTTATATAACAATCAAACAGACCACAACGTACCATAAAATATGAAACAACATTTGTACAATATTTGACCAAAAGTGGCTGTGAATGCGGGAGGTAATGATTAACAGATAGGGAATAATTCAAGAATGCTAAATCGTATAATAATTGATAGGTCAAAATAAAACTCATAATAACAGGGACATGAATATGAACAGTTTAGTTACATAACAATTATACGATAAAAATATATGCATAGCATTGGTTCATAAATAGATCCTAAAAGTTATCATTCATTATTCTTATCGGGATATAACATAAATGTAATTGGTCATTAAACCTGCACTGACATACACAACTTACTAACTTTTGAATTTGTGATGTTTTTCCACTGACCGATATTTACTCTAGACTCACTGAATACAAACTGTTTGTTATTGTGCTGAATGAAAATATTTTCTAGTTTATCCATTAATTCTTTGTAATTCATCTTGAATAGTGTATTTGATACAATGTGGTCCAGTCTAACAGCAATACAATATCGGTCACTGGTTATATTATCGTCTTATAGTCGTATATCATGGAAAATAGAAAATACTTTTATTCTCTTATTATATCAGGGTTTTTTCCACTGAAGTGTAGACAATCTTATTGAAAGAAATGTCGGAATTATTTCAACTATTATCATTCGATCATAACACTGTCGATAGATTATAAAAATGAAAAACATAAATGTTTGTTCCAGATACCTCAATAAATCTCTACAACTAATTTAACAAGCATAACAGTAAATGAAATTGTTTTTAATTACAGATCACACATTCAATGATCGACAAATTTTGTCAATGCCTAATGAATAAAGTAATAATACCCATAGGATTTGAACTATGGATTCATCTGTATCGATGTACTAATGTGATATCAAACGAAAATTGAATTCGGAATGGATTTTGTGGAGTATTTTTAGAAATTTCACGGGTTGAAATCATGAGTCAATTGAAACTAGACCACCATGGAAAACCTGGAAGCACTGGACGGCCGCTTCGTCCTAGAATGGGACTCCTCAGCAGTGCACATCCACGATCCCGCACCCCGCGGGATTCGAACCCAGGACTTACTGGCTTCGCGCGCAAGCACTTAACCACTAGACCACTGAGCCGGCATTCAACGGTGTTAATGTCTAACTTCAACCAATCAACGAAGTTTCGCCAACGTATACAATTGTCTTCAGTGAGTTTTCATCTCACAACAGACCTGGTTGAACTTCACTGGTAACGGCTTCTCAGGTTTCCATGGTTTTCCATGGTGGTCTAGCTTCAATTGACTCATGATTTCAACCTGTGAAAATTTAATTAACAATGACTTATGCAATAGGTTCCTTGTATATGATGTAGAATATTTGATATCGAAAAAATGTTATTGAACTTTTAAAACGTTGATAAGTATGGAATGAACAGTAACCTTTAAATATTGGGCGATGTTGTGAAGTTAACATTTCACTTAATTAAAAAGTAAATAAGAACGACTACGGCAATTTTCATTTGACTGACAGTCTGAATAAAAGACTAATGATAGCATACATACATACATACACACTTATTAACATATTGTTAGGTTATTTAACTATGTATACAGTTTAATGTTGTCTATGCGTTAAATTTTGGAGACTATTTAGATGATTTATTTGAATCGTACATTGGTATGTACGCTTCTTTGTATACATGTTTCGTATTAAATGTCAACCAGAAAATTGTCAAAGCAATGCATAAAAATAGATCAAATGACAGAAGACAATTAATCCCTTGTTTGATTGTCTTAAGAAAAAATATAGAATGATATGATCTGAAAGAAAAACCTACTGTTTCTTGACAAGAAATATGCCGTTGAATGATTTTAGTCGAGAAAGAACGACATAATTAAGTTTAAGTGAATTTTGTTATGTGTCGTTTTATATTAAAATAATCATTTAACTGTACGAAGTTACGTAAATGATTTTTAATAGAATATGTTATGAAGTATCTATCGAAATTCATTACAATGTTTGGGTAAGGTCTTTAATCTGATGATGCTCAATATACAGAATAACATCAGAAAACTGTTTTGAAGTCTTGTTTCAAATAGGAATCAATGATGGAGTTGAGTAGTATTTCGATCAATAATTTAAAATCTAAGGCATCTTGAGCATGATAAAATTTCGAGTAGACAATGTTCATGTACCATTATTAAGCTAGGGAACGATCAGCATTGATGTCCGGTTCGGTGAACACATCGAGAAATCTCAATACTTCTGATGATTTAGGTAATAATCCAAGTTTACTTGCAACACGTTTGATTATATATGTAGATCTTTACTCCTAAAATGATCTGTGTAGATTTTTAGTCAGCATATTGAGCTAAACAAATGGGGGCGTTGACCATTTGAAGTAGCTTGGACGCTCCATTACTGCTGGTGTGTAGGCGGTTGACGAAACCTCTGAAAGAATTCAGAAAGTGAGTTCGACTCTTTCGAACTTGAACTACCTGTGGCTCAAGCATTTCAAATTCATCGGGTGTTGGATTGACTTACAACGGAAGGTGCGGTCTATTCATTTAAGGTCTTATAGTGGTGTACAAGCGTTCCTTATCTTCATCTATATTTTGAATTTCGATGGTATTCGTGTTGTGACGCAAGAGATGATCTATATTAGATCAATAGGTCATTATATTAGAGACTAGATCACGATTCTAGATCAGTTTAAAAATTTGATTCGATTACTTGTTTAATAACCTAAAACCAGACTACACCAGAATGACACTTCATTGACACGAAGCAGTTCACATTGAGTGAAATCAGCTTCACATTTAAAATAGTCTCTTATATTTGTTATGACTGAACGTCCACCTTCGTTCATTGTTCAACTACATATTACTTTCTTCGACATATCAGTTTTAAACTACTTATTCGACAAAATCCTTTCTTCCATTTGAAACATTTTCTCTAACCCACTATTGTTTCAACTACCTGTGAATCTTAACAATTTCAATTGATTGTGTTGAGCTAGTGTAGCAACTTGCATCAAAACACATTCATGTCAACTCCTATGTAGTTTATAACTGACTGTTATAAGATAATATGTAGAATAGCTTATGTGTGTTCTTTTGAAAACTTACAAAATAGTAGATGTTATGGTGAGACTACAATCTATAGACGACCTTTAAACAATGCTACATTGACCTTGGATATTCTAACTACGTATGGGTTATAAATTAGTGTAAGGATTCAGAATAAGGATTTACGGTTGGAAATTAGGGTTAGGAATAAGATTTAGGGTTTTTATCACAAATTGGCATCGGCCATAATACCAAAATGCTATTTCGCTATATGGATGAGTGAATTTCGTGCACAAATCCAACACTAGTTATCTTAAATCTGACTAGTTCGTCCATAAATTAGTCTTGTCGAAGTTATTTCTTGAAATCATAATTTCAAAATCATTTTGCTTCAGAATACATTAAGGTTGAGTGAACTTCAGTATTATATCATTCCTATCGGTCCAAAAAGAAAATCATTTCATAATTAAATTGATTTCAACTTCGATTTCATAAATGATAATCAATAAAATTAACCAAACTATTTGGACAGTCATCGGTTTTATGTTGTCTTTTGTTTTCACATATTTAAATGTAGATTAACTTGGGTAATCAAATTTATATTTTGTCTAGAAACATTTAGTGTTTTTGTCACTAACAAAAACATTTTGAGAGTGGACGGCTGTTTTTTTTGTCGATTGTTTTCTATGACAAAATTACTGTTATAAGTTAGGCTGATGAAATACACTATGGAAGTAACTGTCTAACATTTTGCTAAGTATTGACAAATAAATATTTGACGATAGTATATATATTTGAGATTGGCATTAGTTAAACAACTATTGAAAAAAGGAGGATTGAATAGTTCATTGTTGCTGCATACTAGAACAAGACACTTACCAAATGGTTAACTGGTTAAGGTCGTTTCATTAAGTTAAGTATATTTTTGCATTCTGATCATGACTTTGTGGTAAAAGATCTGACCAGTGGATTTCAATCATGATTCTTTCGACAACCCAAAGGTTGTGGGTTCATTTTCTTAGTTTTAAATATTCTCAAAATTAAACACTTTACTCAGAATTACAAAACAATGTATTCAATGTACTATTGATAATACGAAAATAATGAATTACTAAACAGAAGGGTGATGAACAACTTACTGGTTTAAAACAACATAGACCAAAACAATTTCGAAATATATACCAACCACTAGTCTGTACAGAACGGTATTTTTTTACTAAGTGTTCCTTATTGCCATCATTTACTTTACCAGTTACCAACTGATCAGTTATATGAGTATTCGTAGTGGCCATTGTTGATGGTTCTTTATTGGAAGATGAATTTAATAATTTTTCAGCCGGTTGTTCCACATCCCAATCATTTTCATCAAATTCACTTTTGCTAATTTGTGGACTATAACGATCTAATATTTGTTGGCTTTCTTCTGAGTCTTTTGGTAGTATCAAAAGAGCAGAAATTTTTCTTTCATTATTGTTATCACTGTTATTATTATTAGTATTAATATGGTTTTGGATAGTATTATGAGATCTTTCTGATTCATTTTTATGATTGTCACACTGACGAAGTTTAGAGTAATAACGAACAAATCTCTGTTAGAAAAAAAGAACAATGAAAAATACAGAAAAAATCTGTCAGATGGAAAAGTGAATTGGTAAAATCCTCTTGACCACAATACATAAAATTAAGATAATTCCATCATTGAAATGATAATATTTATTAAGTCAAGGTTATTTGTGAGTGTTTTCGTCGTGAACCAAATCTCGGCTGCTAGGAAATCAATGTAAACTGTGAAGCCCTAAATAGCTATTTTGTTCCACGAATAAAAGATGTAGATAGGCAAGGAACTAATGGGTTTGCATTATATTATGCTTAAAAATAAGATTTCAATGTTACGATTTCAACCTCTTGTCGTGTTGAAAGTGTGTACTGCTTACAGGTTTCAAGCCAGAGATGAAACAGAGACATTTTTTACTCTCTGTAGTTTAACATAATTTTTTGTAACAACTTGATATGTTCATTGAACATTTCAATCCTCACGTTGAGATGATGGATAGACTAATTTATGAACGAATCGATCAAATTTAAGACAGATGGTCTTGGATTTTGGCCCAAAATTCATTCCTTCATTTGACTAAATACCATTTTGGTATTATAGTTGATGTAAGCTCTTATTCCCAACCCCAACGTTCAACGGTAAAATTAAACAGTTCATAATTGATATCATAACAATCCAAGTTTGTAGTCGATTGTATTTATACATACATAGATAATAATGAAAGTGGTTTGTTACATATCCATTGATATAAAACATTGACAGTATTTTTGTATAGTCACGTCAGTCAGTCAGCTACAACGTGGGACCATGCACATATATGCATTGGTCCAAGTTGCCATACCTTATTAGCTCAACAAGATGAACATCGAATTCACAGAAGTAGTTAATTCAATGGTGGTAATATATAAAAGAAAGATTGCATATAAGGATATAGTACAGGAAGAAAGAATTAGTTCGTAGAAAGAAAGATATGAAGTGACTTTAATCTCATAGTTTAAGGGAAGACAAAGAGTGTATACACCGATGCCATTGTGACCGATTTTGAGACACGTCATACAGAGTCTCCAACCATTGGTTACGATAGTCACGTGGATCCCAACCAATTAGTCTGCAACTACCAAAATGCTTGAAACCAGAAGTTAGTGATTTCAAGGACTGATGCCACGTTTCGGTTTGGCCGCCCCTAGTCACGTAAATTCTCAAGAAGAAAAAAAGACAAAACAAATCAACATATTCTATCATAAAAACAATTTTAGTTTAATCTCTGACATTTTAATAACTGGTTTGTATCCCTATGGTAACTATGAATGAAATTATTTTTCAAACATTTTCCAAATATTAGACCTAATAACGATTTAAAATTAATATTTTCAAAAGTGAAATGATAGAGAGTTGAGGATTTGAGTTAAGTAGATAAGATGCATGTATTACAAGCAATTACATTCTATAAGTCTTTTTTGGGAAAACAGCATCAAATTGCAATGTTTTTGTATAGAGTTTGTACACCATAATGTTTGTAATGGCTTAATTGCATCAATGAAATTAAATCTGAGTAGTGTTGATGGTTTTAATAGTTTAAACTGGTGGAGAAGATTTGTAGCTCAGGTGGATGATTTTGATGGAGTTTTGTTCTCCGAGCTGGATGGCTTGGTCGTGGAGCTTTCATCGTTCTTCTGAACGACACCATCAGCACAAACTTCAGATAGAAGTGAAGTGTTCGAACCCAAATGTTTACAAAAACAACAGTAATTTGCTTTAAGATGTCAGTTCATTTCGTTAAATAGAATAATTTTGTACACTGTATGTATCTCATGCTACAACATATCTAGAATAAATGTTGCGTTTTTTTGGAAAAAGAGAAAACAATCCAGTTCATTACTGTTGTTGATATTTTTGACTGAAATTTGATCAGTCCTAGTTGGAATATGGGCGTCCTGTGCCTCGATATTTCCATTATGACAGAAGTTGGTATCCTATTAGCTAGTAATTAGAGATAGTGATACTGTATTCGAGTCACGACGTGAATATCAACTTTGGGATCCTGGTACAAGAGTTTAAAATAGGACAAAACCTAAATCATTGATCCCACTGCTAGCCACTATCTATCTCTGTTTATTATGTAAGGTTAGTAGAGATTGTTAGATCTCATGTCACCATTCGTCACAAACTGACATTAGATGAAAGGTGTTGGACTAGATCCAATGTGCAAAATCTTCAGAACACATTTACTGTTATGACGTATGACTACAACTTAACAAATGACCAGTACATTTAAAATTAAGTATATTATTAGTATTTGTTTCAAATGAAATCAGTATATGATAAAATTCACATCGAAATTTCTTAAATTTGAAAAAAAGGTGTTATATCCGAGTGAAAATTGAATCACGAGTAACTCCTGAAGCATATTAATTGAGTAATATTATCTATACATTCTTATGGTATAATTATTCAATAATTAGATTATGTATATTTATATTCTTATTATTATAAGCTTTAAGTTAACCCATAGACTATTACTATACGATTTATCATTCTTGAGTTACGTCTTGACTATTAATTACTATCTCCCTCATTTACAGCCAATTTTTGGCTTTATTGTGTACAAATGTTATTTTCTATTTTATGGCACGCACTGCTGAGGAGTCCCACAATAGGGCAAAACGGCGTCCAATGTTTCTAGGTTTTCAATCGACTCATGATCTCAACAATTGAAATTACTAAAATCTCCATAAAACCCCTTCTGATATTTTGTGTTCCTTTACCCAATTAACTTTATGATATAGAAACCACTATTGTTTTTTATACAGAAAAATAAAATAAATATTTACAAAACATAAATCCATTTTAACTAATGTGAAGAAAGATGTATACAGTGATCTATATGAATGGCTATGCTAAACAAATTATCAATGATATTTATTATAGCGAAAGATAATATTGACATCTGTTCAAATGATATTCACGTTTTAGTTTATTTACATCTTGTGAACTAAATATCCAATAATATTCATCTTCTTACGAAAAAACAGTTTAATCAATCAAGATTCAATGTAATCAGGGGGATCATAGAAACAGAAACAAATCAGTTGGGGGTAGAAAGCTTAAGGAGAAGATGGAAGCTGGAACAGATGGTCATAAAGGAAGAAAAGTATGAAGAAAAGAAAAAAATAAAATATATAAGACATTAAGACCATAGTAGAGGAAGAGGTTAAACAATCTCTTTTGGACACACAATTCTGGTTTTTCCAGATTTATGACTATCGCTTCGGTAATGATAAGAAGATGCAATATAATTGTCTATGGAAGACTTCTGTATATGTTGTAGATGACTTTGAACTCATAGTCTGTCTTGACTGGGTGACCTGTGTTCGATTATTGAACTTCTTATTGAGCCGTTTCCTCCTCTTCTTAGCCACGTCTAATAATGTTCTTGATTTTGTTTGGATAAAGTGCGCATCGAACGACCTATATATCTGGCTCCATATGAGCAGGTAAATTGTAAATGCACATTGATTTGGTCAAATGGGATAATTTATCCTTAAGATTATTGGTGAACAATGATCGGCTGGAAAATACTATTCGCAACGTTGCTGCGATGAACGTTCTTTTTAAAGAATCAGAAATCATCCTCTTTAAGATGTATGTGGTTCTGTCACTTAAAATCGATGTTCATGTATAATGTTTTCTTTTCGACTGAAGTTATTTGTGTTATGTTCTTATCAATTAATATCAAAGGATACCTGTTTTTGACAAGTATTACCTTCACTTCTCTTATGTGTTCAATGAATTCAAAAGTATCATGTAGGGAGTGTCTATAAATGAGTTTTCTTTTTTTCTTTCCTCATACTCTTTTTCCTTTATAACCATCTGTTTACGCTTCCATCTTCTCCTTAAACTTTCTACCTCCAACTAGTTTATTTCTGTTTTTAATCAACTAAATATTTTTTCTTCTATTCACATCTTAATATTTTTCAAATGTTATTTATTTGTAAAAGATTGAACTCGTTCACAACTGATTTAAATTTTAAGTAACAGGATAGCGTTGTATTGAACGAGAATACGGGAGAGGACAAACAAATATATTTTAATATAACATTACAGAATATCTTGGTAAAATCTGAGCACCATACAGTGGATATTTCATTTGCAAAAATATCTATCACGTGTCTCAGACTTTGTTGTTCCTTCGTCTCTATACCAATCACTCTCTGTTCATGTTCTTTTCCCTTCGATTCTCTCAACCTTCTGCCGCTAGGAATCCCACTTACGACTGTCGATACATACTACTTATATATGTCGTCATCAGTAGCACACACCACAGTATCCTTAAACTTCATACATTTAGTATGATTCATATTTCAATACTTAAACTTCGGTGCATTTTGTTTACTGCAAATTTTAATTCATAATAGTGATTATTATCAATTTTGATAGGATCATGTAAATGTTTAAAACATTTCTTCAACATTCAGATTACAGTCGTCATAGAATGATCTCAGCCGGGGCACGATTGAAAACCACGTAGGAATACAAAACTGTTTCATCCTAGTATGTGGAACTTAAAAATTATTCGTCCACCATCGCACTAAAGATCAAATACAGGATCTTCAGGTCAGACACTTAAAAGTTAGAACCACCAAGTAAGCGTCCAGTAGAAACAGTTTATAGCCATATGGCTTTGCATATCACTAGGAGTCTTCATTATATATATCACCGAAGACTAGTTCCTTGTTTATAGCGTTCATAATTTTAGACAATACGTTTAATTATTTAAAAATGAGTGTTTTTTAATGGTGGAAACGTTTTATTAAGATCAGGAGCACATTTTCATCCAGTGAATACTTCAAGAATGTAGGACATGCAAGCATTCTGCGCTAAAAATGATACAAATTCTTACACTATGGAATTCATATAAATATGGACAAATCCCTGGGGTATATAAAAGAGACACTGGAAATGTGATGGAAATTATTCTCGAAAACGTTACATCCAGCTGATACCGAACAGATTTTGTTGAATTCATTTTAACCT